ATCCTCGTCAGCCTACATGTGTTATTTGTGTTCTTTTTGGTGATAACCATTCTGACAGGTATGAGGTGAAACCTGTATAGTTTTGATTTGCATTTCCCTGATGATGCTAAGCATCTTTTCATGTACCTGTTGGCCATTTGCATTTCCTCTTTGAAAAAATATCTCTTCTGTTTTTCTGTCCTAAATGGAGGCGTTTTCTATTGGTTAATGACAGAAAGATCGGAGAATTTCTGATGTCAAAACAAAAAGCACTATCAAGAGTTTTTTAAAATTTAAACCTAACTTTGTTTATCAGGTAGGTTCCTATACAAAAGTACATAATTATGCTAAATATATTTTAAAATATTTAACTTAAAGATAAGATGTTTTCATGTAAATCTAGTAAACAGTAATTTTTAGAAAAAGAAAAATAGACTAGTAGTAGAATGACCAAAGTGATGTTCACATGTTCTTGTACTAGTTTCACCAGTAATGGAATTTGAATATGATCATCCACATAACCTTTGCTTTTTCTCAAATGAGGCCAATTATAATAGCAACATTGCTTTTTCTGGCTATTTGGTTTACATAGCTCTGTTCAAAGAAGATGTAATGAAAAGTTTATATTCCTTTGGTTTGTAATTTTGTTAATTGGTATGATTTATGAATATCTGGAATGTCTAGATGCTTTCTTTTCAGTCCTTGGAAAACCATTCTTAGTAGGTATTATTATTTTTGTTTAAAAATGAAAACTCTGATGCTGTTAGAGATTCAGTGGTTGATAAAGGGTGATCAAATTCTTTTCATTTTACCACACTGATTCTCCAAAGCAGAGTGGTATTTTTAAAGATTGAATGATGTTTTTAAAATGAGATACCTGCTAATGGTAATGCTACCAGTGTAGGCTACAGAGTGGCTGTCAAAAGAATATTTGATTGAATTAAATGAATGACAATCAGTAGCAATGTATTCAAGGCCATGGAGTCTTCGTATATTAGTCAGAAGTGTCTTTTTGTACATATATATTTTGAACTTATACTAATTGAAGTACTTAAATAATTGATGAATGAAAGATAGAAGATCAATTTATGTAAGAAAAAATTTAAGAATTTTTGTTTACATTTTTACACACATATATAGACAATATTTACTCAAATGCATAAATGAAATCATATACATGAAATACAGTCTCTTTTTTCTTATCTCTATTCCTCCCTCCACCCATAGAACTCTACCTACCATAATCGTATTAGCTTTTTTTACAAGAACGGATTATATTATACACATTTTAACCTTTTTTCATTCAATAAAATCTTGTGGAAATACCCCCAAATTACTTGTTACAGCCCTAATTCGTTTTATACAGGCATAAAGTTCCATGATGTGGATGCACCATGATTTATTAATATTAGACCACTTCTGTTTTGGGGACATTTATTTTGTTAACGATTTTGCTGCGGCAAAGTTTGCAGAAAATAACTTTGTATAAACCCATTTTCATCGTGGTATTTTTATTTCTATAGGGTAGGTCCCAGGAGTAGAATTGCTATGTTCAAAAATGTGTAATTTATATGAGTAGCTTTTCCCAGTGGTTTTCTATAAAGGCCATAATAATTAATATACCCTCCAGCAATGGATGAAGTCACTAATTCTCATTGCTTTGGTAGTGTTAATACCCTCTGAAGCTTTTACTGATCTGATGAGTATAAAGTGATATTTATTATTTTAATTTGTATTTCCTATTTTGGAAGTTTGTGTGTGGTGCCATATTAATTTTAACCATTTACATTTTCTCTTCTGAGAATTGCCTATTCAGATTCTTTGCCAATTTTCCCCTATGAGTAGTTTTGGTTTTCCTGGCCAGTTGTAAGAACTGTATATAATCTTCCATCTACATCTGGAAGTCTGGTGACTTGAATTCATCTTACTTCATTCCCACTCTCAACTTACTTATTTGTACTGAGCCAAGCAGTTGGATGAAAGGAAACCTCAGTTTCTACAGAAGTCTTGGAAGACAGGGCTGGTGGAGTGCCTAAGACAAGGAATAAGAAACTGACTCAGAAATACTTGGCATCCTTCCACTATCTTTCTGCCCTAGAGAGATGTTGACGTCAGCCTGGCCTCTAGGAAACCAAAAAGGAGCCGAATTGGCAAGCTGAGTCCTCCTTACTCTTGCGTAAAGACTTCTCTGTTTTTTTGTCAAAAGACTGCCATCAGCCAACTTGCTGTCTACACCTGCTACACAGCTGTTGTGGTAGAGAGGGTCAACTGCTACACTGGGACTGCCAACTGAGCTCAGGGAATAGATGGAAAAAATAACTGCATGTCTAAGGATCCAGCAACACGAAAGGAACACAAACTGTTGGGACAGGCCCCCAGCAAAAAGAGGAGAGAGACAGTAACTTGAACAAAATAATAGGAACACAGTGAGACTGAAAGTGCAGTATTTTAAAAAACACAGAAAATCTTTGGAGTTAAAAACACTAATTTTTGAACTAACTACAACAATAGGTCAAATGGAGGAAAATGATAACATGGAGATTTAAATTTGTGGCCTGGAGAATCTAGTGGAAGAAATATTTTTAAACCTAAAGCCAAGGGCAAAGAAAGGATAAAAATGACAGATTTTGAGGATGGAAGGAGAACTAAAGTGTATAATAGGAGTTCAAGAAGGAAAATAAAAGGAATAGTTTGAAGAGAGGCAGTAATTTTAAAAAGACAGCCTTGAGCTGAAAAAGGCATGATTCTAGGTTCAAAGGGCATGTTGAGTCCCAAGCAGAATTCGTGGTAATAATAATAAATAATGGGACTTCCCTGGTGGTTCAGTGGCTAAGATCCTGTGTTCCCAATGCAGGGGAGTGCTGAGTTCCATTTCTGGTCAGGGAACTAGATCCCACATGCGAAACTAAGAGTTATCATGCTTCAACTAAACTAAGACCTGGCACATGCAAATAAGTATTTTTTTAAAATAATAATAAAAATGTCATGTCAATTACTAAGTTCCCATTCTGCTAGGCAGTGTTCTAAGGGCCTTACATTTATTAACTTGTTGAATCCTTACAATAGCCCTACAAAATAGGCGCTATTATCCCCCCTAATTCAGATAAGGAAAAAAAGGTTAACTATTACAGTCAGAAAGTGAACCCACGAGATCTGACTCCAGAGCTTTGACTAACAGCCTCAAAGAGCAAAGACTATTTAAGGAAATCCTGTTATAATTTATGATCTCTAAAGATGAAGGGTGAAATCAAGTTCCAGAGAGCGAGAGCAAGAAATCAGCAAAAGAAAAAGAGCCTGTCACCAGAGTTCTGATCTGTAGTACCTTAAGCTAGAAAGCAGTGGGAAAATTTATACATACTATTAATTGGAAAGGACCACAAGCCGATTTCACTAACCAAATTATTCAACTATCAGGCTGATATGAAGATTTGCTGATGTATCACAATTGAACAACTAACCCCACCTACCATCTAATGAAAATATTCAAAGGGAAATCTAATAGTATTTAACCTTTGTCTTCACACATGTCACTCTGAATAAATCCTCCCTTTATCAGTTTAATGACTCTTTCTTTTTTTTAATTAAAGTATAATTGATTTACAATTTTGTGTTAGTTTCAACTACATTAGCAACGTGACTCAGTTGTATGTGTGAGCATATATTTCAGATTATTTTCCATATTAGATTATTATAAGATATTGAGTATAGTTCCCTGTGCTGTACAGTAAATCCCTGTTGCTTATCTGTTTTATGTATAGTAATTTGTTAATCCCATACTCCTAATTTATTCATCTTCTCTCCCCTTTCCCCTTTGGTAATCATAAGTTTATTTTCTATGTCTCTGTTGCTGTTTTGTGTATAGATTCATTTGTATTATTTTTTTAGATGCTACATATCAGTGACATAATATTCATCTTTGTCTGATTTACTTCACTTAGTATAATATTCTCTAGGTTTATCCGTGTTGCTGCAAATGGCAATGGTTCATTCTTTTCATGCCTAAGTAATATTCCAGTGTGTGTGTATGTGTGTGTCTGTGTGTGTGTGTACACACACACCATATCTTTTTAAGCCAATCATTTGTTGATAGGCATTTGGGTTGCTTTCATATCTTGGCTGTTGTTAATAGTGCTGCTGTGAATATTAGGGTGTATGCATCTGTTCAAATTAGAGTTTTCGTTCTTTCCAAGTATATGCCCAAGATTATGATTGCTAGATCATATGGTAGCTCTATTTTTAGTTTTTTAAGGGACCTCCATACTGTTCTGCATAGTGGCTGTACCAATTTACATTCCCACCAACAGTGTAGGAGGTTTCCCTTTTCTCCATATGCTCTCCAGCATTTATTATTTGTAGACTTTCTGATGATAGCCATTCTGACCTAACACCTCATTCCTAATATCTTAATTTCTAGGAAATCTTCTGCAGTCCCCTAAGCCTGAGTTTATTCTCCTCTTAAATGCTCCCATAGCACCCGGTAATTCCCTCACCTTGGCACTTGTTTCCCCTGTAAAATTGTAAGCTCTCTGAGGACATAGACAGGCTATGCATGTTTTGTTCACTATGGTATCCCCAGTATAGCAGGTTGACTGATTAAAATTTGTGTGGTCAAAATTAGCAAATCTTTTTTGCTACCCTACTCAGAATGTTTTAGTAGTAGTTCTTCAGGGAAGGTTAAGTTTTGTCTTTAGTAGATCTATTCAAAGCTCTATTCAAATATGCCTTGTTTGTATTTCTTTATTCATCTGTGACTGTTCTACAAAAGTTTTAGTTCACAAAATTTCAACATATTGAATGTATAACATTTTTTACATACAGAATTTATTTATTTAAGGCATATTTACAATGCACGTTATCCATGTTGGATTCAGACTTCTATTATTTGTTATTTTTGAAAGGCAGAATTAATAGGAAAGTATAGAAATGAATTTACAAGTGTAATCAAAACACTCAGAGATAGTGTTTTAAGACTCTAAAAAGAATAGTTTAATTCTTTTTTTTTTTTTTCTGTTTCTCTGCAGATTAAAGCTAAAAATTATGACAAGGTAGAAAAGGTGAGTCCTCTTAAATACACTTTGAATTTTATGCTGAAGTTTAATTTAGGATTTAACATTTGTGAGGCAAATACTGTAAAATGTTAATAATTGCTGAATCTAGGTAGTGATTATATGGGCTTCCCAGGTGGCTCAGTGGTAAAGAATATGTCTGCCAGTACAGGAGATGGAAGAGATGCAAGTTCAGTCCCTGTGTCGGGAGGATCCCCTGGAGAAGGAAATGGCAACCCACTCCAGTAATCTTGCCTGGGAAATCCCATGAACAGAGGAGCCTGGCAGGCTACAGTCCATGGAGCTGGACTTGACTTAGCGACTAAACAACAACAATAACAACAAAGTGATTATATAGGAGTTCATTGTACTTATTCAACCCTTTTGTGTGTTTGAAAATGTTCATAATAAAATTTTGGAAAGGAAAGTAATTATATTCTCCTGACCAAAATTATGAGAATTTTGATTATCTAAACAAAATAGAGGGAATTGTTATTCATCATTTATTTGTAGGAAGCTAAATTAATGAAAGGAGCCGAATTTGTTTCTTTAATGTTTCATTTCAATTGTGTACACGGGAAATTTAACTGTGGTTTCTCATATTTTACTGTATTTACAGCTATTTCAGAGATGCCTTATGAAGGTTTTGCACATTGATTTATGGAAGTGTTATCTTTCATATGTCCGAGAAACCAAGGGTAAACTACCAAGTTACAAGTAAGTTAAATCAGGATCTTAAGAATGCAAGTCATGTCCTAATTTATTCAACTCCTCTCGCAACTCTTAACTCCAGAGGATGAAGAAATTTAAGGATTTGAAAAATCAGGATTCTCTGAGAAGTTAGTAAACATGGGGAAAACCGCTTTAAAGAAAATCACTGGCATTAGATTTATTCTGGAGAGTTGAATCATCCAAGCCCCTCTTCTATATTGAAACACTGTACTTTTGCAGCTCCAGATCAATTTGTTCACGGGCTTGTTGTCAAACTTAGTAAAAGGAATCTTATTGTCATGGCACCACTCTTGGCAGGTTACATTTGTAATGTACTATTTAACTATTCAAAGGCACCTTTGACAATGGTATTGTTTAATTGACCTCCTCACTAGCACATATCCTCACCTATCTATCTTTGTTGAATATAAATAATGGACCTTCTCAAAAGCTCTTTTTGTGTATAACAAATAGGCAAATTATTTCTAGAACCAGAATTCTTTGTTTTCTTTTCTTCCTTATTCTTAGTCTTATATTGAACAAGTTCTTTTTCCCTGAATTTTACTTCAGAGCTAATAGATCTTCAGCCGTAACTTACCTTCTTCATCAATGAATCAGATATTTCCCCATTTGAATCTTCTACATATAAGATCAGTCAATTGGAAGGTTATAATATTATATAAAACATGGCCCCTATCTTTGATAAACTTACAAGTAGTAGGTAAAAGAAACAAAGTATATAAATTAATGACATTAACAAGCTAAACACAAAAGAACACTGTATACTTGCAAAGATGTCATTACATTTTGTTTATATAAAAGATTTAAATGTTGTTCTGATCCTATGAATGGAAATTATGATTATGTTTAGTTATAGATACATTTTAATAACAGTTTTTCTAAAAAACATCTTTCACATTTATTTCAGAGAAAAGATGGCTCAAGCATATGATTTTGCACTGGATAAAATTGGAATGGAAATTATGTCTTACCAGGTAGAGTTAAAACTTTCTAATACATAGACTTAATAAATTTGAAAGTACTAAGAAAAATACTAACATTTTCTTTTATTTCTTAGATTTGGGTGGATTACATCAACTTCTTAAAAGGCGTGTAAGTATTTACATAGTTTTATTTTCTGTGTGAACATTGATTTAGCTATAATATAATTGATGGCATTTCTCATCCAATACCAGGGAAGCTGTTGGATCTTATGCAGAAAATCAGAGAATAACAGCTGTTCGAAGAGTTTATCAACGAGGTTGTGTTAATCCAATGATCAATATTGAACAACTGTGGAGAGACTATAACAAATATGAAGAGGTAAATTAGGACAGAGTAGTTTATTATTATGACAAAGTGATTTTAATTTTCATGCTTGTGAGTTTATAGCCTTTCTAATATTAGGTACCTGGGTATCAATGCTGCATATGTTTCTTTTCATGTTGATTGTAATGAAAGGATCATTCCTAATGTTTTGAGAGTCTCATATTACTGTTGAGTTGTTTTTTAGAGAATACTGTAGGAGAATTATAATTCTTACAAAACCATTTTTATTCAGTGCTAAACTATATCCTCACAGTTATACACATACATATTGCCACTGATCTCTTATTTGAAAGAGTTCCTTTTCAGAGTTACTTTTCTAGTTGTAGTGATGAGTTGCAGTGCACCTCTTTCACCTGGTTACAGTGATGTGATTATTGCCTTGCAATTGTGAGATGTGGGACTGTGGTCCAACATCTTTGTTTCATAAGCAAGTGACTTATTAGTTTTTTCTTAATTTATTTTTGGCTGTGCTGTGTCTTTGTCACTGCATAGGCTTTTCTCTAGTTGCAGCGAGCAGAGGCTACTCTCAGGCTTCTTTCTGCAGTGACTTCTCTTGTGGCAGAGCGCAGGCTCAAGGGTGAGTGGGCTCAGAAGTTGCAGCCCCCCAGCTCTAGAGCACAGGCTTAAGAGTTGGAGCTCACGGGTTTAATTGCTTTGAGGAATGTGGGATCTTCCTGGATCAGGAATCAAACCAGTGTCTCCTTTATTGTGAGGCAGATTCTTCACTATTGAGCCACCTGGGAAGCCCCCAAAGAACTTTTAATTTCAATGTGGCTTTTGTCTATGAATACTTATGTTGGAATTAAAACAGAAAATTTCAAGATATTTATTAATTCATTTAAAGTTTATAGTTATAGACTCCTTATATTTTAACATAAATACTATTAAGCTGTATTTCCCAAAATAAGAAAAAAACTCAGTGAAAAAAGTAGCATTATTTCATATTTTTGCAAATCTCTTTGGTATCTTAGCTTAGTAGAGGACAGATTTTCATATCTGCTTCTACATTCTATCTGGTATGATATCAAATGTCATATAGCTTCTGAAAAACTCCATTGTATATTTGTGAGAGGGGCAAATCATGTCTCAGTGATATATGAAAATTGTTTTGATCTTACAGACCCTCTGAAAGGGTCTTGGGGAACAGGAATCTTTGGACTACTCTTTGAGAACTACTAGGCATGAGCGAAGTTATGCAGACCTAGTTAGAAAAAGGCTTTTAGAGCTAAGCCATGGCTATTCACCCAGCTGAATCTGTACATCATTCTTTATTAGTAAAATTTTTTGTGAAATAATTGACCCTTTCCAAATCATTCCCTATCTTTGATGCTTACTGCCATCTCATAACATAAAGGCAGGTCCTCCTTGATTTCTTAAGCATATAAAATGATCAAACCTTTATTTTACTAACCAAAAAACCTCTTAAATAATTTAAAGTTATTTAGCAAATGAATAAACTGTATTATCCTAACATTAAAATATACTTAATTTAAAAATAATACACATTTTTTTTTTCCCTTAGGGTATCAATATTCATTTAGCTAAAAAAATGATTGAAGATCGGAGTAGAGATTACATGAATGCTAGGCGGGTAGCAAAGGTACGGAATTCCATCAGGCCACTTACTATGATGTTTGTTATGAGTATGTTATTTACACAGGAGCTTTTCCCATCTGGTATTACTCAATATTTTCAATCATTGGCAATCTTAACTAATAACAGTTAATTACATTGTCTGAACAGATGATGTATTTGATATTTGAAGTGAAATACCTCTTTACAGACTTTGTGAAAGGATAAAATAGAAGAAGTCAAGTATGGAAGAAATTATTTTTTAAGATAAAGAAACAGAGATTGTAGAGACAAAGTTCTACATATAATTGATCTGCAGGTTTTATCCATCCCTCTTATCTGCTCATACATATCTGAATACTGTACTACTGTCTGGTCTAATGACATCCCTCTCAGGGACAGAGTTTTGTCTTGTGTACATTCCTTTCCACTCAGTGAAACTGTTAGAAGTTAGGGAAGATAGCCTAATACTGTGAACTATTGAAGTTTTAAAAGTTTCTCCAGAGATGGCAGTAATGATGCCACCAAATCATTAGTCTTGTTGATCTGTCAACCTCTTTGTCCTGAGAATGACTTTCTAGATCATCTACAGAGAGGGCCCAGGGCTGTTCTGTTCACCTCGTCCTGGGAACCTGTTCCTGGGTGATTAATCTTTTATCTTTCTCCCTGCTCTTAAATAGTTTTTAGGTTATATTAACAAAGTAGTATTTGGTGGGGGAAAGGCATTTTGAACAAAATATTCCAAACTGATCAACTCCATTCCATATATGAGTTCTTCAGCTTACCGCAGAATTCTAAATGCTTATTGTCTAGGAATATGAGACAGTAATGAAAGGTTTGGACCGCAATGCTCCCTCAGTGCCTCCTCAGAATACTCCTCAAGAAGCTCAGCAGGTGGATATGTGGAAGAAGTACATACAGTGGGAAAAGAGCAACCCTCTTCGTACAGAAGATCAGACCCTGATAACTAAAAGAGGTAACAAGATTAGCTCTCCTGAGACTCCAATTACATGTATGTTAGGCCACTTGATATCATCCTGTAGGTTACCAAGGCTGTATTTTTAATCCCAAGGCTTTTTTCCTCTTATGTTCCTCAGACTCAATAATTTCTATAGATGTCTCCATGTTCACTGGCCTTTATTTTATCATATACATATGCTGGTGAGCCTATTTGATGAATTCTTCATTTCAAATATTCTACTTTTCAGTTCCATAAATTTCCATTCTAGGAGTTTTTATATTTATTACAGTTTTCCTTTTTCTGTTGAGATTCCATGGCCATTACCATCTTTCTCTTTTTATCCTTGCATATATTTAAAATAGTTATAAAACCCTTGTCTGCCAATTCCAAATCTGTACCATTGAGGGGTTGATTTCTTTTCCTCTTGACTATAGGTCACATTTTTTGTTTTGTCAGAAGTCTGGACATTTAAAAAATTTTTTTTGGACATTGTACAGCTGTGTAAATGACACATAGTAAAGACTAGGTGTAAGTGACACATAGTAAAGACTAGATTCTGTTATCTTCCTCTGAAGAATGTTGGGTTTTATTTTAGCAGGGAGTTAAATTACTGGCAGATCTCCTCGACTTTGTGGAGGCTTGGTTTTACAGTGTTAGGATGAGCCTGTGTTAGTGGCCTTTAACTCACGGTAAATCTCTTAGTCCTGGGATATAGGCTTACTCCTAAGACAATGGAAAGTTCAAGGTGTTTACTCAGAATCCCTTAACCTGATGGGAGTCAGATTCCAAACATGGTCTCCATTACAGTGGGCAGCTGATATCACTCCAGCTCTTTCAGCTCTTCTTTCTGCTTAGGCTCTTTGTATTTTTTCCTGTGGATGTCTATTTTAGAGTCAGTTAAAAATTTGAGGGCATTTATGTCCAGATTTTCAGCCTCCACCTTCTGTGGTTCTCTTTTGGGGCATTTTCCCCCTTAATTTCCAGTTGCTCTTCTAAGCCAGAACTCCATGTCACTCACCTCAAGCTGGTAAAACTTCAGCATTTGACTTGAGTTCTAGCTATCCCATAACTATACACACAGGGCTGTGTATTTGAGGGGAATAGCATATTAAATACATGTCTACAATTTTTAAAAATTCCAGTTTTTTAGTGCTCAGGCCTTTCTGGTTTCTTTTTCTTTTGGTCATTCTTTGGTGCCTTTAAATTGTTGCTTTTTGTATGTTCAGTTGATGATTTTTTTTTTTCCACTGAGAGTTAGTCTTATACAGACTACTGTGCCTCTGCCAGCACTAGAATATGGAACTTAAAAAGACTCCTCAATCTTGCCTTGTCCTCTTAGCCTAGCAAGTATTGTCTCCTTTGCCTGCACCATTTTTGTATCTACTCCTGTCCTTCCTGCCTCTACTTACACTTACACTCTCATCTGACCAGATTCTATCCCTTCTTCAGGTTTCACTTAGATGTCAGTTCCTTAGTGAAGCCTTTCTTGAGTCTCTAAACTATGTTAAGTCCTGCTGCTGTAAGTTAAGAGTACACTGTACTTTCCTCATCATGCTTATTACTTTTCACAGTAGCTTTCTTAATATCAATCTTCCCAAAATATTGCAGACTTCTTGAATATAGGAAGTCTTAGTCACTGGTATATTCACAGTGTATTTCACATTCCTTAGCATATAGTTTGTACTCAATAAATATTAATTTAATAAATGATAAATGAATGGGTTTGGGTAGATGATAATTATCACTTAAGTTTTTTATTTCTAATTATCATTCATTATTGAGGGCCCTGTCTTAGCCTAAAAATTTAGTTGTAATGCTTATATGGATAGTTTTTTAAATAATTATTCTAATTGAATGTTGCAAATGTCTTCTCTTAGTTATGTTTGCTTATGAACAGTGCCTGCTGGTGCTGGGCCATCACCCTGATATTTGGTATGAAGCTGCCCAATATCTTGAGCAATCTAGTAAACTGTTAGCAGAGAAGGGGGTGAGTATTCATTTCTTTCCCCCTTTTTGGTCTTTTCATGGCTTCAATATAGCAATAATTTACTAAAAGTATAACACTGAATTTTGGTAATAATGTATAAGAATTGAAAACTTTAATCTTATGTCACTATGAATCTTAGTGACCCTCTTATTTGATTAGACTATCTTAGAATTAAAATATAGTGGCTCTTTTTTAATGTATTAAAGTGATGAATCACTTAGAGTACTTACATGATTCTTTTTTATGTTAAAATAATGGAAGAAGTCTTTGGAATTTTTTGAGAATCCAGAAATGCATGTGTGTCCATAAGTAAATACATATGATGAGTCTGTTTTATTCTTTCAGCTACATTAAAATTACTGTAAGTGAGCTTTCTTTTTTCTCTCTTAGGATATGAATAATGCCAAATTATTTAGTGATGAAGCTGCTAATATATATGAAAGAGCCATAAGCACTTTACTAAAAAAGAATATGCTTCTTTATTTTGCATATGCAGATTATGAAGAGGTAAGTTAAAATATTTAGAACTTTCTTATAATTGGATTTTTTTAGTGCAGCACTGAATTTTTTTTCCTAGCTGCTTCTTTGCCAGGCATATTGCTTTTTGAAGACAGAGATAATGCAAAATGAACAGTTGTTAATCCTTAGCTCATTATATATTTATGCTCAAAGCAGGTGCCTTTGTGGGGTGCAGCCTCTGGATTCCTCAGAGCTCAAATCCTGCTTGTTTATGAGTATATATTTATATCCACTTCTTCTCTACCATCTTAGAGTCGCATGAAGTATGAGAAAGTTCACAGTATATATAACAGACTTCTGGCAATTGAGGATATTGATCCCACCTTGGTAAGTAACTTTACAAATCTCTTTTCCACCTTTGCAGTCTGCTTCTATAAAAAAAAAGTTTTTTAATTTACATAAAGTAAAATTTACTGTTTTTGTTGAATTGTTAGTTCTATGAATCTTGACTAATAACATAGTCATGGGACAACCATCACAATTAAAATACAAAACACTTAAATCACCCCACAGAAATTCCCTCACGTGACCCCCTTATAGTCAACCCTTTCCTGTCTCCCAATCCCTGACAATTACTGAGGTACTCTTTGCTTTATTTTTTTTTTTAAAGTACAGAAGTATGAAACAGCTGCAGTGGGACTTTTTCTAACACCTTCCTCGTGAGCATAGTTTGAATGCTATGTAATTGTGGCTTAATAAATATTTCTTTTTAAGTAAATAGAGGCAAGAGAAACCAACATTCTGGGAAGCAGTTGGACAGGAACTCACTTTATCCTGAATTCTACTCTAATAGTGGTTTTCTTTTCTTTTCTTTCTTTTTTTTTTAATGTGGACCATTTTTAAAGTCTTTATGAACCATTACAATATTGCTTCTGTTTTATGTTTTGGGTTTTTTGGGGTTTTTTTTGGCTGTAAGGCATGTGGGATCTTAGCTCTTCAACCAGGGATTGAACCTACACCCTCTGCATTGGAAGGCAAAGTCTTAACCACCAGATCACCAAGGAAGTCCCCTCTAATAGTGGTTTTCAAAGGCACTATTTTCGTAAAACTGCAGTGGAACTCTCAGTGGGAGGGGAAGCGGACAGGCCAATGCATGGGGCTCTAGACCCTCTGCCTCAAGTCAGCTCTAGGTCCGTTCCTCTTTTCTTTGTTTACCTTGGGGTTCCACTGCTTGCATTCACTCATCTTTTTAAAATTTGTTTAGCAGCCTGCATCTGTGCTATGCACTATGCTAGATTCCAGCAGTATAATGGCAAATAAGTTAAATTTCATTCCTCGAGTAACTCATAGTTCATTCATCTAGGCAGCGAGGTTTGGCATCATCAAAACTGGGCCAATCAGGAGCCTGCTCATAGTCATCCTGTGTATAGTCCAGAGACCTTTGTTCATCAAATAAATATTGCATATTATTATGTGTTAGGTACTCTGTTAGTGCAAAGTATAAAATGATTCAGTTTATCAATGAAGTTACATTATATGTTCTTCAGGAAATAGTGGGTTTTTAAAGCAATAAATCAAGAAATTTTAGTATTTTCTAGTATTTTTCACTTTTATTCCTTAAGGTTTAATTAGCATGTTTGGAATTAGATGATTGTAATGATTATAAAACATTGTGATTATACTAAAAATCACAGAGTTATACATTTAAAGGGTGAATTTTGTGCCATGTGAATTATATCTCAATTTTAAAAAATTAACTTGCATGCATCTTTAATACCAGAAAAAAATTGCTTATGGATTTAAATAGTCCAATATCTATCATCTTATTGATACTTTTAAATTTCTCAGGTATTCAAATTGCGTTCTTATATAGCAAAACATGTTAGTATAGAAGTATGGTGAGCCTGTATTGGATGCCATGGGCATCATGTTCTACCTAATCTATAGAAAACAAATGCTTTTTTTGCATAGGTATATATCCAATATATGAAATTTGCAAGAAGAGCTGAAGGTATCAAATCTGGAAGAATGATATTTAAAAAAGCAAGAGAAGATACCAGAACCCGCCACCATGTCTATGTTACTGCAGCACTCATGGAATATTACTGTAGTAAGGTAAGTCCTGAAATAAAATATAAAGTTAGAATGATTTCCTTTATCTGAGATAAATTAATTAAAAGAAAGGCAATCCTAGTTTTTGTCTTTAAACTTTAATTCTTCTGTATCATAAAGGAGACTTAAGTGTATCCGTGTCAAATTACATGGAGCATCATTCATATCCCCTCTGCCTGCTGATTTATACCTTATTGAATTCCATATTTCTGAATCTAAATCCCCTGAATGGTATTTAGTGCTGCAGTTTTTACATGATTTTAATATCCATTTTAATTCTTAATGTACTTAGTCATATTTAAATGTCGTTTTAACATCGAGTATCTTATCTGATGGAAATCAGTACTTTGCTTTCTTTACTTCTAGGACAAATCTGTTGCCTTTAAGATTTTTGAGCTGGGGCTAAAGAAATATGGAGACATTCCAGAGTATGTCCTGGCCTATATTGACTATCTTTCTCACCTCAATGGTAAGTAGATTCTAGATCTATAATGGTTAATATTAAACCATCAATGTCATTCTTTGAAATTATGTTCCTGGAATTTTTCCCTCTGCAGAATGGTCTTTAATTCTGCAGCACAGTCCCAACAGTAGTAGGAATAAAGCCACAAATCTCAAGTCATGAAAACTCAAAGATGCCCAAGTCATAGAGTAAAATGCTTTGAGGCTACTGGGGAAGAGATTTCAAAAAGAAACATTATGTTTATGAGCATCTTTATTTTTCTATTTTGTTGTAATAACAATAATGGCAATCCTTTATTGGGTTCCTACCTTACACCAGGTACAAGGCTAGAGAATTCGTATATGTATTTATATATCTCATTTAGTCAACTTAACCACACCACAATCCAGGATATGTAACTTCTTGACTAAAAATGATCTGGTTTTAAAAAAAAAAAAATGATCTGGTATAAAAATTGATTTAAGAAAGAAATATAAAAAATTATGTCATGTAAATAATTAGATGTAAGTTTAGATATCACAGGTGTATATTAATGATTTTAATGATATTTTAGAAAAATATAACATTCTGTCTACCTAAGTAGAAAAGAATAAAACTTAAAACATGACTTTGTATTTCAACTTAGTGATTCTACTCTCTGGAAGAGGACTTAACTCCAGAAAGTGAGTCAGTGGAGCATTTAATTAAAAAGAAATTTCTTGTATGAAATGAATGTTCCTCATCAGTTTTATATTATTTTGCTTCATTTTTTAGAATAGTTACTAGTATGTATAATATTTTTTATTGTAAAATTGAGGATGGAATCTGATGTCAGCATTGTTGTTGTTGTTTAGTCACTGTTGTTTAGTCACCATGTCATGTCTGACTATTTTGTGAGTCCATGGACTGTAGCCCGTCAGACTCCTCTGTTCATGGAATTCTCTAGGCAAGAATACTGGAGTGGGTTACTATTTCCTTCTCCAGGAAATCTTCCCAACCCAGGGACTAAACCCACGTCTCCTGCATTGCAAATGGATTCTTTACTGCTGAGCCACCAGGAAAGCCCACTGTCAGCATTATTATCTTCTAAAATCATCCATGTTCATCCACCACCCCATCCGCCTATTCAGTACCTTTTGTTTAGTATGGTCTGGCTTCTAGTTACAGGTCTATTACTCAGTTAACAATGAGCCGAATCAATTCACTTCATCTTTTTGAACCTCAAGCTTCCTCATATATAAATACTGGTTGTGATAATACTTAGACACCTCTGCATAAGATTTTTGTGAGGATTCAATGAAATAATGCTTTGTTGAATTATATAACTTAATTTTTAAAAAATATTTAAAATTTTCTTTAATATCCTAGAGGACAATAATACTAGAGTTTTGTTTGAACGAGTTTTAACATCTGGAAGTCTTCCTCCTGAGAAATCTGGGTAAGCCATTGTGAAAACTTACTGGTCAGGTTCTAATGGCAGCTTTAATACTTGAACTGTAGTCCATGGGATGAATGTTTGCTTGTTGTGAGTCTAAGTTTCAGTAGAAATTTCCCTTCTCTTTTGAAGTTTCATTTACAAATGGCTGCCTGCAATATTTTCATACCTATTTAAGATTTGTTAAAAATTTTTTCTTTGCATACTGACTAGGATTGAGAGATGCCTTAACAATTTGTTCTTAAATATTTTAATATATTTTTCTCTATATCCCTACAAGTTGATATGGACAAACTAGGGCAGACTTCTGAAATTTTTGTCTCTTTCTCAAGAGCAAAGACTCTTACAAAATGAAAGTTTGACAGGTTATATCCCTGATTTATTGTTTTGACTCTGTCAGTTTTACCAGAGGAACAACATGGTATAGCGGTACAGTGAAAGTACTAAGGCTTTGGAGTCTTGGGTTCAAATTCCAACTCGGTCAGCTATACCTTGGGCAGGTTTCCTAACTTTCCCAATTCTTACTTTCTTGTTGAGTAGCAATAATGTCTACCAGTATAGAAGTTTTGTGATAGTCCTCTACCTAGCATAAAATAGGAAGTCACTGTATTACTTTAGTACAGAGGTGCTTACTGACATTTTAAGTAGAATCTCAGAGGATTAATTTTGGCTGTTAGAACAGTGGTGAGGCACTAATTTGTCCCCAGTGATCCCTATTAATGGGAAAAAATAGAGAACAATCATGTTAGATTTTGAAATATATTTTTATTCATACATTGCACAAAGAATGTATTCTACATTTTAATTCATGCCACTACAAAGTGGTGAAGTCATATCATTCAGGAGAAACTGGAAATCTAGGTTCCTTTTCAACTCTTCCCCACCTAGAGTTTACCCTCTCTAGGATAAATGTCTCTCTTATTGACCACAAATGATAGGAGGTAGGCTAAATAAGAAAAAACTAAGAAAACAAAAAAACCTTAAATATGGAAGTATTTAGGGTGAAAGGTTATGATGACTATAATTCACTTTCAGATACTTAAGTGAAAACATGGGGAAGCAAATGTAGCAAAATATTAATGATAACTGAATCTAGGTAATGGAATATAGGTATTCATTATACTACTCTATGTTTTGAAGTTTAGAAATCTTTATAATTTTAAAAAAAATAGATTCTTATAATTTAAAAAGGGGTGAGGAAGGGAACTGGAAGATTTTTGTAAGTCCCAAACCCAGGATATTGTGAAGTATTGATTATATTTATTTTCTTCCAGAGAAATCTGGGCCCGATTTCTAGCTTTTGAAAGTAATATTGGTGATCTAGCTAGTATACTCAAAGTGGAGAAAAGACGGTTTACAGCATTCAAAGAAGAGTATGAAGGCAAAGAAACAGCTTTACTGGTAGACAGATACAAGTTCATGGATTTATATCCTTGCTCTGCAAGTGAACTAAAAGCACTTGGGTATAAGGTATGTACTTGGGCTCACGATGTGTGTGATGTCTTTACTTTCCCAATGTTTTAGAATAGTTCATGGATAAACTTTAAAATAAATTCTGAAATGGAAATTAGTCTAGTTTTAGAATAGATTTGCAGAATATAAAAAGTTCAGGGATTTTCCTTGGGCTTGTGAAATATTATCAACAGTACTGAGCAAAATGAGAATTAAAATGAGATTTAACAAACTTTCATTCTTTCCCTAAAATTGTCAATGCCTTGTATCTTATTTTGTGGGCAGGTGGAAGAGGGAAGAAAAACAAGAAAATCTGAATGTCACTTAGGTTAGTTTTTCTCTAACAGTTCTTAAAACTGAGGAGTGTGATAGGAGATCTTAAACCAAATGTAATTCCTGCTATATATGTTGTAGATATGAAGAAACTACAGCTTGGTAAATCCATACATTTCTTTGAAGTGTTTGTATCTTTAAACAGGGCGCCTTCAGTGGAGGCCTTTAAGAAATTATTTCATTGGCCAAAAATTTCGTTCCAGTTCTGGAACAAAACTGGAACAAACTTTTTGGTCAACCCAACAGCTTATCTAGGAATGGAACTCCTCTATTTGGACTACTGCATCATTAAGAAAACAGATCTGGAACCTGAACTCATTCAGGCCAAAGGAAAGATAAAAGCCTAGAAATAGCCCTTGGTGAGAAAACCATTGCTCTATCATTGCTTGATTTTTCTGTATCAAGTGAATAAAGACCAAATGAAAATCCAAGGGGAAGCTATATCCACAAGAGTCCTGTATTGGTCTCCTTAAGCCAGCCAGCATTATGATGTTACTCGCCATTATTCTTCATTTCCTCACTGCTCTCTTTTAGCCTCGGTCTCACTGGTCTTGTGTCTGAACCAGATTAAAATAAACTTCAGACCTTTTCATTAATGGAAGCTCCAGTTGTGTGCCAGCCCCATATTCCTATTCTAAACTAGGGTTACTGCTCAGGGATGAGGGGATTCTGCTCCTGGTTTAACTAATTCTTAATGAAAAGCCAAAGGCATTTTTAAGACTGTTATGCGGAATCTTTAGACTATGTCAACTTTGCCAATTTGAAAATGGAAATTAAGGAAGTTAATGAAAATATCTTCATGAATTTTCCATCTTGTATTTCTGTTTCTATTCTGTGTATTTGGGAAGGATCATTATGCTTTTGTCTGTGGCAGATAAGTGAGAGTGGGAAAGAGAAAAAAAAGCAATTCTTAGTTGGTGTCCTCATTTAGATTTGCCACCAACTGCATATGAGCAAGTTTTGAGAATGTGAAATTCTCTTATATCCCTTGATGGTGGCAAAAGAGGCTCTCTCAGAGAGTTGCTCTCAGCAATGGCAGGCATTGCTGGGACACTGAAAAGAAGACAGAATGGGTGTGAGATCAGAGAGGCCTGTGCTCTCAACTCCTCTGTCTGCTTCTTAGCCAGATAACCTTGGAGATAGCAGAACCTCTTTGAGCGTTAGTCCCTTCTATAAAATGGAGTGATCCTATCTACCTCCTCAAAGAATGAATGAACAGCAAAAATTGACAAACAGTGGTTACTCAATAAACATTCCTTCTCCCCTGTAACAGTATGTTGGGAATAATTTTTCATTTCATTAGCAAAATCTTATGAACTAACGTAAGTGATAAGCTTTGTTAGCTTTCATGAAAGAGCACCTTACTTAATCAGCTTCTTCACTTAAGAGAACCTGATGATCTTCAGTTTTAGTGGAAAGGAGATATCAGAAAATATCAAAAACTGCAGATTTTCTTCCAAATTACCCCACATCTACCTGGTATCTATTATCTACCAGATATATACATCTACCCAGTATGTATTACCTACAAGAGGATCCTACAAATGTCCCATCTGGTGACACTGAGTCTAATGACTCTTAACACTTGGCAATCTTCACTGTCATGGAAGTTCTCGCTTTTCTTTCTCCATTCTCGCTATGTTTTTAACCCAGTTATTCAGTGTATCCTAAGGACTGTAGAATTGCACAGTTCTACTCTCTAAGTCCCTTTTTCAGGTTTAGGATTCTTCTGTTCTGCATTTTCAGGATGTCTCCCGTGCTAAGCTAGCAGCTATAATTCCAGACCCAGTTGTAGCTCCTTCTATAGTGCCTGTTCTGAAAGATGAAGTGGATAGAAAACCAGAATACCCTAAACCAGACACTCAGCAGATGATTCCATTTCAGCCACGACATTTAGCACGTAAGCCATGACTTTAGATCCAGTACTGAGACCTCCGTTTGGTTGTTGGTTTAAATCCAGAAGCATGTGGGGGTTGGGAGGGGCAAACTAATGTGACCTTTCCATTGTAAGTTAATAATTAGACTCAGGGTCACTAATGACAAGTGATTTGGCTGTAATCTTTGAATCAAGATGAGTTTAAAATGTCTTAAACAAAAAAAACTCACTGTTCCAGATTGCAGTAACCCATTTGGCAGTGATACTTAAGAGAGTTTTCTGAAATGCTGCTACATACAGGTTACCTGCACAGCTGGAAACTTACTTTGGTGATATTTGTATTGTTTATACTTACTAATAGGTAGTAGTCTCTGAATTCTATTTGAACAAGGCCCTTACAATGAAATATGTTACTGTATAACTGACTTTAAGTGGGCTTGCTGAAAAAATGACTTGTGAGGCTTAGACATGGTCTTTGACAAAAACTGACTAACTCAGGTTCTGGGTCATCTTATGCAAAGTCATTTGTTTACTTTTCTGCCTCCCAGTGGCCACGGGGTTGAGATTGCTTTCACTGTCTCACCCACTTGAGTTTGGTCAAACATATAGAACACTAAAAACACTTTTAAGATGTCCAGGACAAAGCAACATAAGACTCTTAGTACATAGTAATCTATGTACAAATTACTTATGTTAGTTATTACATGTATAGAAATTCTTCCATCCCATTCCTATATTCCTTTCTCTTACAGCTCCGGGCTTACACCCTGTCCCTGGTGGAGTGTTCCCAGTACCACCTGCAGCAGTTGTTTTAATGAAACTTCTCCCTCCTCCTATTTGTTTCCAGGTTTGTTCACCATTTTCATGACAGATATTTGCTCTATGGGTAAAAGTAGTAATTATGACTTTTTCTCTTTTATCGTGGGAAATACAAAGTGGGGCTATTTTAACTTGTCCGATTATTTGGGGATTAAGTTTTCTTTGTGTCAAAATAGGGTCCTTTTGTACAAGTGGATGAACTGATGGAAATTTTCCGAAGATGCAAGATACCAAATAGTAAGTGATGAGGCTCCATTTGTAGAGTGGAGTTCACATTGTTGTCTCCAAGACAGGAGAGATCACCACTGAAGTTTCCAAAACCAGCAGCCACCTCACAGCAGCGCAGTGACGCCTGGCAGGGGCCCACGCCCTCTGTGGCGCAGGGGCCGGTTTATGCTCTAATGCTACTAAGAAAAATACCGTCACAAGCTTCTTTTCTATTCATGTGAACATGCACTATCAGATTTTGCTTATGAAAACTTTATTAATTTTAACCACAGTTTTTTGTCTTTATTTAGTATCAGTAGTACTGTCTCAGAATTTGCTAATAGGAAGCTACAAAATGATAAAGTATCCAAAGTGGTACATACATATTCCTCACAGCATACTTTTTTTAAATTGGGCTATAGTTATTTTACAGTGTTGTGTTAGTTTCTGCTGTATAACAAAGTGAGTGACACAGTAGCATACTTCTAAACACCCTCCAACAGTCCTTTTGCTTTGCTTCAATAGCAGTTGAAGAAGCTGTGAGGATCATTACTGGAGGAGCCCCAGAGCTAGCAGTAGAAGGCAATGGCCCAGTGGAAAGTAATGCAGTGCTCACGAAGGCCGTCAAAAGGCCCAACGAGGATTCAGATGAAGATGAGGAAAAGGGAGCCGTGGTCCCCCCTGTTCACGACATTTACAGAGCAAGGCAGCAGAAGCGGATTCGGTGAAGCAGGCGTAGCGCCTGCCTCGCAAGGAAACTCTTATCCTTTTGCCTCTAAGTCACATGTTTAAAAGAGACAATGCTTTGTTACAAGGTTCTTGGAAACAAAGTTGTATTGTCATTGGTGCCTCTATCATATGGTTCTGGAGAACAACCAACCAACCTACGTGAATTTTAGGATTTGGAACAGACCTATGCTCTGAGCAGAATTAGGTTTTCAAAAGTGTGCGAACAGTACCAAGTGGCAGAACCACGTTTTGTTCCCGCTTCAAGGGTGTCTCGTACGTACCACTTGAAGACTTGTGGGTTTTCAACAGTTTTATTTTAAAAACTGGATGGCTTATGATTGTAAAGCATTTTATCACATTTTCTGAAAACAGCTGTTTTTGGTTTGCTTATGTAGAGTCCTGCCTTATTGTTCGTTTTATTTATGGCAGAATGTATGGAATCGGTTTTGTAGTTTAACATTTTAAAACAATCCTTTAAAAAATAAAAGGATCTCAAAAAAAGTCACGTCTCCTGCTGCTGCTTTCATTCACATTTGAAATAGCAGCTTATGTTATTCAGCCAATACAGTTTAAAAATAAATGTCAACAATACAAAGAAAAGTCATCTTGTATTTACCGTTTATACAACTACTGTCCTTTCCTGGTCTTTTTTGCTACTATTTGAAAACATGAGGGATCCATTTTTTAAGAGGTAAACTAAACATTTTAGAAATCCTCAAATATGAATGCATTTTCCCCAAATTAAATCTGAGGGAGACTGAGATATTTTATCTTTCATCTCTCTCAAAAGTGACATAAGTATGGGTATTCCTTTAATCACTCACTGTCTTGCTCTCACATGTATTTCAATGTTCAAGACCGTTTTTTTTAAGCGCTAAACAAAGATAGCATTAAGGAAAAAGAAAAACTATGACTGGCTGCACTGGCCCTCTGCGATGGTCCACACTCAGTTTGTGGAGTGTGTTTCACTCTGAATAAATCCACTTCTTACCTATCAAAAAAATAAATAACTGTGGCCAAGTAACCAAAAACTGATTACAGTGAGCAAAAATTTATCCTTAAAAAGTAAGTCAAAAATTGTTTTGCTCTTTGTTAGGAGCATTACCTCCTCTAGACTCATTTTTAGAAAACTAGACCAAAAACATGTTGAGCCCTGAGGATTGTGATTCAGAGTAAAGGCTAAAAATCAGGACAAAAAAAAAAAAAAGGAAAAGTATTAAGGCTATAAAAAGACAATCTTACATATTGGGTACACAATTTAGAATTTGAATTCAAGTATGATTAAATTTCAGCCTCAAATATTTCTACAAATGAAAAAAAAAGTTATATTAATTTCTTATATAAACTTGTATGTAGCAAGGTTATACTTACCTAAGTTGATCCCAAGTGTCTCCAGTATTTTACCAGTAAAGCTAAGTAAAATTTTCTTAAAACAAAGTCAGCTCTACCTCAGATTTTGTTATCTTAAGTATCATTTCTAAGCTGTGTGGGTTTTCTTTTTAATATCATGGTTATCAACAATACAATCTGAAAGGCACAAGTAGTACCATATAGCAGACTTGAAAATATAGAGAAATGGAATCTTTCTTGGAGTGCTATTGTTGGGTAGTGTATTAAAGAAGACAAACTGATTTCAAATACCTGTAATGGTCTGTAAGAGTGTTTCCATATGAGCAAACAAAGCCATATATGATTATGCAAGGAAAATGATCCTTTTTTTTTTAAGCATTGTGACAAGAAAACACACATACACAACCCTACCTACCTTGGTGAAAGTGCTACTAAGGACTGTTATATGTATTATAATTGTTCCTACTGCATTTATTTCTAAGACTTTTCCCCCTAGAAATTATATGACATTTAAACTTCAGATTATTTCTTGTTAAGAAGAAAACATTTTCTTAATATTTTATATATATATATGTAGAACTTAATGTTCTCTCTGTCTATGTATATGAACTTTTGGTTTTTAGTATGATTCTGTGTGAATGTTTGATAATTCATTCATCTAACATCAAGTAGCATGATGTTAGAAATCTGAACTCACTTTTGGAATTCTATGTGCAGACTCCTGTGGTATATATAGCTAGTCCTACATGTCCAAGGACTCATATCCATATTGCTGGATGCAGAGAAATTACCAAAAGAGATTCATATCTTTCCTCTCCATAAACAATGATAGCATCTCCCCACAATTCTAGAACTGGATAAAATTTAAGGACCATAAATCCTTCCTAAACAAAAATCAGTCAAACTCTGGCTTTTAGCACTAAATTTCAAACAAGAGGTTTTATCTGTGTAGCCACATAAAGTAAAAGATTATATAGCTACCTAGTAAATATAAAAGTGATCAAATTGTACTACTGGAAAAGAATGAAAATATGAACCACTTTTGTCAGCATGTTGACCTTGGGGGAGAATTATGAATTTATTTGGTAATTTTATAACCCTCTACTGGCATAAACTTAATATGTAAAACTAAGAGTTGATTTACATGATAGTAAAATTAAAATCACCATGTTCATAAATTCTGGTTTTTACATTTCAATTTCCAAAGCAAACTTCATTGAAGTTGGTAGTTGTTACTTGACTGTGATGTTCAGCAAGTGCAGTTATATTTTATTTAATACAAATTTCAGAATTCTTGAATGGTTAATTCATGCCAAGTTAACAAAACTCAGGTACCATATTACTGATTTAGGTAAAATCTTAAATATTTAACAGAAGTCAGCTTATCAGGCTCTGGGAATAAAAGTTCAAAAAACCAATTCCATTTACTAAATTTTCTTCCCTGTCCAAGACGTGACCAAATTTCTGCTTTGAGCCCACAGCAGACAATACTTTAAAAAGCAGAGGCAATAAGAATGAGAAAGCAAAAAAAGTGTTACTTTGATTTTAAGGTTGCTTTTAAGTCAAAAGTTGCACTTAAAAGATTCTCAGTGTTTAGTTCAGATAGGTTGTTGTTCAGTCACTAAGTCATGTCTGACTCTCTGTGACCCCATGTAGCCCGTGCCAGGCTCCTCTGCCCATGGGATTTTCCCAGGCAAGAAAACTGGAGTGGGTTGCCATTTCATTCTCCAGAGGATCTTCCCTACCAAGGGATCAAACCCACGTCTCCTGCATTGCAGGCAGATTCTTTACCTCTGAGCCACCAGGGAAGCTAGGCTTCATTCAGATAAAACAAATACAAAAGTGGTGAAGTCTGACTATTGATACCAATGCCAGACACAACTGATTTCTAAACTAAGTGATATTCCATCAAATCGGGCCTTCTGAACTATAAATTAGCCTTAATTTATAGTTCAGAAGGCAACATAGGTTAAGACAGAAATCCACACTAAAGGCAGTTTTAGGTAAAATTCTGCCTGCTCAGGTTTCTGACACATTTCTAGGACTCTAGCTTTTTCTGAAAGTATAAGTGAACATTCGATAGGTTAATAGAGGATTTCAGGCTTAAAAGTTTTTCCTTTCCCCGTTGCATGAAGGTGCTTTGAAAACTGAATAAAAAGGCAAACCATTAAAAAAAAAAAAGGTAAACTATTAAAATAGGTATATAAAACCCAATATAAATACACAATTGCAAACATCATTGTAATTCTTTATTTAGGTTATGTTTTCAATGAGATAGTGCCTTTTAATATGAGTTTCATAGCCTATCATCCACTACCAGTCAGTCATCCATTCATTTACTTAAAATAATATAGAGGTGGAAATGAGAAATCACTGGAGTGCAGGTGAGTGGCAGCATATAAGAGAAGTAAGATTGCAGCTCTGGTACAGAAGAGATGATAAAAGAAAATAACAGTCTTGGGACAGGATAGGAGGAAAACCTCTATAGGCCTGTAAAACGTGCTTGACTGAAGGAAAGGGCACCCGCGGTAGAATCTGTCATCACCTACAGGCAAAAGGTTACAATACTCTCCTTTGTTGCTAATAAAGCCATTTATAGTTCTTTTGCGTGTACAAAGCATTCCAAAAACCATTATCAAATTTAATCCTCACAGGAAGTGTGAGTTAGTATTCTTGTTTCACAGAGCCTCAGGAAGAATGGCCCAGTATCACATAACCTTGCAAGAAGGCAACAGAGGAAAGACTCAACCCAGATCTTCCTCTAAGGCAGGATCTTTCTGCACAATCCGACCGCAGTCTACAGTTATTCCAGTCAAATTTATCCCAGAATGTCAGAATTGAAAGGCCCTTTTCTAGTCCTTTCAGTTTACAGGTATTGAAAATGGGTCCTGATTTGCTCCAGCTAATCACACGACAGAAATGGGATTAGAACTCTGGCTTCTTACAACTCTCAGTCTTCCCACTCGACTATTCGGCCTCAAAAGAAATACAAATGTTTTACACACAAGTCAGGGCATGTCAAAAGATCACTGGAAATCAAAGGGCAAACACCTATTCACTCCCTTGAAATTCACCAGGAAAGCAGGCTGCTCTATTCCCAGGAACCTTAAGACTTTGGAGAAATTAAAATAAGCCACAAACACAGAACTGCTAAATAAGCTATTCAGAATTGTCAGCCAGTAATGTGCACATTATATGCCTATTGAGTCAAACTTTTTAATAACTTTTCTTCACAGAGAAAAAGTTCCTATATACCTGTCCACTGCATTAATCAGTAAGATATATCAGTGTAACTCTTACCTGAAGTATATTTATAGGGTTACATGAACAATCACATTTTACAGCTTGCTTTAGAATTAATGAGATTAAAAAAAGAAAAATACATACAGTGAGACTCCACCCACTATTCACCTAAGCAATTGACAGCTGACTTCTAGACATTTATTCACTCACCGACTCATTCATTTAGGAAACTATCAGAGAAATCAAACTGACCTGCTGATATCAACCCAGCTCTCAAGGCGCTCAGTTCTACCCACTTGTAATGAAGTACTATTGCCAAATAAAAAAATATGTTTTTCACAAACCCTTTTAGGCAGGAAACCATGTCAAATCCAATCAGCATGTAGTATATATATAAAACCAGTTCAATTCTGAAGGATAATTTATATGCCAAAGGTATTTGGTCTCTCCAAGACAAAATACCCTGTGGTGGGGAGTTCTAAGTAGATACCCAGCGAACATTTCCTGAGTGACTGAGTAACTAAATGAATTTTCCTGGCCCTTTGATACTTCTATGAGATTCCAGGAAGAAAAACTAGCTCACTTATCTTCAAAGAGCAACAGCAAAACGATTCAATATGAATATCGAGATTCTGAACTTCACCGTCTTCATTCTGGCTCTTGTAGAATTCCACCAGGGGACACTGAGGTAGTGGGGGCCACAGGAGTCTGTGAAGCTCCCTGTTACATGGGCATCAAGATTTGAAACTGTCCAAACGTCACTCTATCCATGTAGGAACCCACGAGGGGGAAAAAATCTACTAAGAGTTAATTCTTAGGAAAGAAAGCAGAATGAAGAACCCTGGAGATTTAGGGAAAATGACTACAGGAGGTGGTGACCCGCCCTGCATCTGTGGGGGTTACACTCCCCTCCCACATCCTTGGATGGGGTGGAGAACCCCTGAACACTGAGGCGGAGGCAAGCCAGAGTGCACCCCCCCACCCGCTGAACCTCATTCTCTGCGACCAGTGAGCGCAGCTGCCACGGCAGCCTGACCTCCAGGAACAATTCCAGAGGTGACCTCACTGGAGGTGCTACAGAAGATGTGGTTTTGTTCTTTAAAAGTTCTACTTACTGAGCTTTTAGCCCCTTCCCAGGGAACCAGGGAGGATTTGTCCTTGGGCCTAGCTTTATTAACATGACCTCTGACCATGGAACCCAGCCTACATTTCTGACTACAAGTAAAACTATTAGAGTGCAGTCTGAAGCAAATACATGGAGAAATCACATCCCTCCCAGTATAACCAGTAGCTCCTCTGGAACCTGGTATCACTAGATGGTCCAGAGAGTGGATGTTTCCCCAACCCTGTCCCCAGCTCCACCTTTGCCCTTATGGGCTTGAATGAAGGGGTTCCTTGCATGACGCCACCCCTTGTGGTTCTGGCAGCTGGAGATCACCCCAATGACTTCACAGTTCAGTTTCTAACATAACGTCCCTATCTAAGATACACATTTATTTTTTAACAGAACAGGTCATCTATGAGACCCCAACCTACCCTTTCAGCCACAGGATATGTCAGAAACTCTGGTCACTCAAGTTCCTAGATAAATACTGCTCAAAAACCAGAGATTTCCTATAACTTCATTACCTGAGAAGTAAGTGAGCTTATGCTATTTTATCTGAAAACACTTAAATTCAATTCTGGAATTCGAATTCAGTCAATACATCGAGGTGTTGTACCAGAGTGAACTTTCCAGTAAAAACTTCTGATATCTGTCTTCTTTTATATTACACTAACATAAAAAAAAAAAAAAAATCCCTCAACTTTCAAGACATAAAAATCAAAGAATTTTCCTTTCTCTACATCCCATAAACACTATCATTCAGGTTTCAGAATTAATTTTGTATAAAAGAAGAAGCTTTTTGAAATCAAATATTAATAACTCCTTTAGAATGAAAGGATTTAGGGCTCTGGCTAGGCCAGGAGGGGAGAAAGCAATAAATAATTGGGGGTGGAGGGGGGCAGACAGGAGGCAGTAAGATTTATAAAGTTCTAACATAAAATACCTGAAGGGAGGAGGGGCGGGCTGTGCAAGAGAGGGACGAGCCTAAACGCATCATGGCCTGGCTGCTTTCACTCTGGGGTGGCTGTCAGATACTCTCGGGTGTCTGAAAGGAAAACAACCCAGATGGCAGAAGAGTGGTCCCAGGCTCCAGGGAGAGACAGGCAGCTACCACCATGATACACTGGGGTGGAGACACAGGACAGTCCTCCTAAAAGCTGAGTGCCACCTGTGAAACTCAGGACAACAAACAGCTTCTCTGATGTGTAAACTTGCACTCATAAATACAAACCCCCAAAAGAGAATTCAGTGCATTTTCCAACAGGTCTTCTCAACATTGATATACAATATTCTTCCTTTTGGAATCAGTGCTATTAAACAGAAAGGTACTAAATAGCCATTTTCCAAAAAGCCACATTACAGCTGAGAACAGGTTGAGCTAGTAATACTGCCGCTACAGGGACCATACGTGTTAGGATCTGGCGAGGATCTTACTGAGGATTGCGTCGTAGTAGGGACTGAACACCATCTTGTTATAGTTGACCAGGCGCACGAACTTAACGGCAACTGCCTCTAGCTCTTTTTGAATCGGACCCAATCCCCCAGGGGCTATGGGCGATGGCTTCTGATGACTTGAGGCAAGGTAGGTGTCTAAGAAGGTCAGGATTCGGGAATCTGTGATTGAAGAGAAAGCAGACGTTTGTTTCTGGTCAGGGCGACTTTACAAACTTCTGTTTATGCTTCAGTTTTTAGCCTAAACGTCACCTTTTTGAGAAAGTCTTCCCTGGTCACCCCGGGGCACCTCCCACTTCTGAACATTCACCCCTTGGGGATGCTTCCTCCACGGGATGGGGCCGTGCCCCTCTTGCCTGTCGCTCTCTCCCTAGCACCCAGCGCCTGCCACGAGACCCGGCCCCCAGGCAATGCCCCAAGTGATACACTTGGAAAGCAAGGATACACCTACGGATGATTAAGAGGAGCCGAGGGCGCTGACAGGCTCTGCTCTCAGAGGAGCAAGGCGCAACGAGACCAACATTAGCCACTGCTGAAGATCACATTAAAAGGGGAAGGAAAAACTAGGCAAGAAATACAAGTTCCAAAAAGAGCAGGAAGAAAGAAGACTCCAGCACTGCTGACCTGTGATCTAGTTTTCCCACAAAGCCCAGGAGAAGCCTAAGCCTCCTCGTCCATGGCCCACAGTGAAGCTCATAGCGCTGCGGGCACTGTGTCCTACTCCGAGGAATCACTTAGTTTGACGCTTTCTTAGCCCCCCACCCTCACCCCCATGACAGTGCTGCCATATACAGTCCTGTGTAGCCTCAGCTGCCAAAAAACTGTGTGCAAGCCGCACCAGGCAGCTTTTATTATAAAAGCAACAGGGGCATTTGTATCGAATAAGCGTTTTCAAACTTCACGCCCACCTCAACTAAGGAAGCTTCTCAGGTGTGACTGACTTGCACTCTTTGGATCCCAGTCACACACCGCCACTGGCTGTGACTAAAAACCAAGCTGGCAGGAACACGGGGGCAGCCTGGAAGCCAGCGGTCTCCTTGCAGCCCTTTCCCGCATCCACACCCCACTTGACGACAATGATCTTGAGGGTCCGAGGGCCCTGCAACATCAGGAGGCTCCTCCTGAGGAATCCAAAGATGTAACTAAGGCAGGCCTGGGGTGAAAAAAACCCAATATGTAAAAAATTCACGGATTCATGTAAGTCTCTTTTTATAAATCCCACTTCGGACAGCATTCTAGTATTGGGCTGGTAGCTCAGATGGTAAAGAATCTGCCTGTCAACTCGGGAGACCTGGGTTCAACCCCCGAGTCAGGAAGATCCCCTGGAGAAGGGAATGGCAACCCACTCCAGTATTCTTGCCTGGAGAATTCTATGGATGGAGGAACCTGGCAGGCTACAGTCCATGAGATTGCAAAGAGCTGGACACGACTGAGTGACTCTTTCTTTCCATGAAATACTGTGATATGTGCTCAGTCGCTCAGTAGCGGCCAACTCTTCGCGACCCCATGCACTGTAGCCCACCAGGATCCTCTGTCCATTGAATTTTCCAGGCAAGACTGCTGGAGTGGTTTGCCATTTCCTTCTCCATCATAAAATATTACGTAGCAATAAAGAACAATAAGTGATAGTATTGGAAGCACACCCATATCACTAGTTCAGCCTCTACTCAGAATCTGATAACCACGGATCATTCTGATTTTGCCTGAGGCATGCTAACTTTTCATTATTTATAAGATGAACAGCTATCTGATTTCATAAAGAAGTTGAGGAAGGACTTCACAATCAAATAACAATAATCCTAAAAATTAAATATTAGATGTGTTCCTTGATCAACCAGTGAACCGAATCAACCATTGATGATGGAAAAGAACAGCTCATAGAGCAGAGTAATATTTTTAATAACTGCGACTTGTTGCTGAGTCCTCACTATGTGCTGCCAGGTTCGGCAGTAAGGACTTTACTTATATTTAATATTATCACCTGCAGTCCTCTCAGCAACCCTACAGGTGCTGGCATTACTCACTTTTTAGAGATGAAGAATCTCAAGTATCACATCACTTGCTCAAGCTACACAGTAAGTACTTGCATAGAAAACCCATCCTAGTCTTGTACAAGTATGCTTCTCCTCATCCTTGCCCCACTACAAAGTCCAAAACACTTCTGGTTTTGTTTTGTGTTTCTTTTTCTTTTGGCCGCACCTTGAGGCATGTGGAATCTTAGTTCCCCAACCCGGGATCAAACCTGTGCCCCCAGCAGTGGAAGCAATGGAAGTGTGCAGTCTTAACCACTGGGCCACCAGGCACACATGCTAAGTCACTTCAGTCGTGTCTGACCGCACAGACTGCAGCCCGCCAGGTTCCTCTGTCCATAGAATTCTCCAGGCAAGAATACTGGAGTGGGTTGCCATTCCCTTCCCCAGGGGATCTTCCTGACCCAGGGGTTGAGCCTGGGTCTCCTGCACGGCAGACTTCTTTACCATCTAAGCCACCACGGAAGCCCCTCAAAACCCTTCTGACTCCAGATCTGGAGGAGGGGGGTTCCCACCACCAAGCAATTGTCTGTGACCCCAGCTGAGTGTCCCACAATCTTACTCAGTTCTGACACCACCTGGACACAGCCTCTGTTCCCACAGGTTAAGGGTTCAGGCCCACAAGACTGATGCCACGTCAGACACCAACCACAAGGAGTAGGTCTCCAGGTCACCCACCACTTCTGTATGACCTGACTATACATCGGAGGTTCATATGGCATCCTTCCCCTTGGATTTTGTGATCTGCTAGAGCAGCTCACAGAACTCAGGGAGGTTTCACCACTTTATTACGTAACAAAGGCTCTGATAAAGGATACAAGTGAACAGTCAGAAGACACTCATGAGGTGAGGCAGGGGAGAATCTGAGGGCCAGAGCTTCTGTTCTTGTGGAGCAGGGGTGCACGCGCCACCTGCCCCACTACACGGATGTGTTCATGCACCCAGAGGCTCTCCAAACCCTGTGCTTCTGGGATTTTCATGAAGGTTTCATCTTGCAGGCATTTCTAGTCCTTCTCCTCTCTTTCTGGAAAATGGAAGGTATGGCTGAAAGTTCCAAACTTCTAATCATGGCTTGGCCTGTTGGGGGAACCAGCGCCCAACAGGGAGCCCAAAGAGTCACCTCTTCAGGACAAAAGACGCTCCCAAAACCCAGGAAATTGCAAAGGCTGCAGGTGCTCTGGATCAGGAACCGGGGAAAAGACTAAATGTTCGAATGAAAAGGTGCTCCCAATGCTCTTCTCATGGAGGAAACCACCAGAGTCTCAGCAGCTCTGTGCCAGGAACCAGGGGCAGAGACCAACACAGATATTTCCCACTACCTCACAGTGCTGGAGCAGGGTTCTGAACCAAGACCCGGGATTCCAAAGCCAGAGCCCTCAGGACAGTGCTGGCTGCCGGGTTGCTTGTCCGAAACTTGGGGTCGCCCTCACCGCACGGTGGTGATTAATCCCTCTCCTCACCCATCAGCACTCGTCACCCGTCAAACCCTCCGCAATGTCCGCAGAGGCGCCTGCCTGCCAGCCCATCGCAGGCACATCCCCAGCCCTGTCTCCCGCCAGACGTACCCACGATCCTGCGGATGGGGTTGTCGGGACTGGCCACGGCCTGGATCTGACCCTTGAGCACGGCCTCCTTGTCCGTGGTGAGGGGGCTGAGGCCACACAGGGAAAGGCAGCTGCTCACCTCCAGGCAGACCTTCTCCCCGACGGCAGTCAGGGCGTCCTCCAGGTGGAAGGAGCTTGAGCAGAGAAGGGAAGGAGAAGCACGGAAGGGAGGGCCTGTGAGCCGAGCGCACAGACCCCTCACCCCCGGCCCCCGCGACCCATCTGTGGACTGACCGGTTCGGGGGGAAACTGTGACCCTTCCCTGCCCCAAGCCTCTCAAACTGTGTCCACCCGACTCAGGGAGCTTCTAACAGAAAGGGGAGGGGAGGGCTCAGGTTATCGCTGGTCTAACAATCTAAAACCCAGCTTCTTGCTCGCATCTGTGTGGTGAAATGAGACTGGAACTGACCAAGGCCTGCCCTGGACACTTCTGCAGCAACACACTGGACACCACTTTGTCTGTGTGGCTTTTGAAACAGTGTATTGACTACTTTCAAAGAATAAATAGAACTGAAACCTAAAAGTTAAAATGCACACCTCGATTTCCTGGGGCCCCCCGGCTCCCCTGACGTCTCTGTGGGGAGCCCTCATGCTGGTGGGTGTTTTCTAAGAAAGCAATCACGTTTGTCCTGGATCTGGAGCAAACGTCCAAACCCTGGGACTCGACGTTGGGGCCAGGGTGGCCACGCTGGGGCTGACCTTCTGAGGGAGCGCCAGACAGGCCCCACTCCTCAGGAGCTTTGACAGGGCAGTTTTACTGGTGGGGGGCTTAGGAGGGCCTCAGGCCAGGCCTCGCCTCAGCAAAACACCCTGCAGGCCTGAGTCAAGACTGTTGAGGCCCAGGTCAGGACTCAGGTATACCCACCTTGTGACACTGAACACACAGGCTGTGTGCAAACTCAGCAGCCAGTTTCTCCACTTTGTAAAGAGGAGGAGGCTTGTGGATATTCCACTTGAAGAATCCTCTAAGCTGGACCTCGCCAGATACAGGTTTATTTGCATGCGTGCTTAATCGCTTCAGTCGTGTCTGACTCTGTGTGACCCTAAGGACTATAGCCTGCCAGGCTCCTCTGTCCATGGGATTCTCCAGGCAAGAATACTGCAGTGGGTTGTCATGCCCTTTTCCAGGGGATCTTCCTGACCCAGGGATCAAACCTGCATCTCTTCCATCTACCTGCGCTGGCAGGGGGGTTCTTTACCACTAGCAGGTATATTTAGAACCATTCTAAAAGCTGGAAACCACAAAAATCACCTAATCCGACTTCACTGCAGGAGCACTTAGAGCAGCTGCCCTCACACAAGCGGGAACTGGTGCTGGTTGATAAATAATCCATTTACACCCAGCACAGAACATCTATGAGGAGTGTGCAAAGGGCAGAAAACTTTAGTCACATTCACACACACTGGAAGAATGCAACTTGGTTCTTATGTGACCTTTCCAGGGCTGTGTTGACAAAACTGTTAGTTGGTGGTGAACATAGGGTAACATTGGATAACAACCAATTTTTTTTTTTTAATGGAGCAAGAATATAACAGAAATATCAGGAAGTATTAAGCACAGCTGGGTACGTTTCACTTTCAAAGTTTTTATTTTAGTTACATGACTGTCCAAGTGTGCACTGTCACCATGGAAGACGAATTTCTTCACTAGGCGTCCAGGCCACAAACATTTGGAAGCCACTGTCCTAGAGCCTTGCTCAGCAACCCTACAGTTGAGTCTAACCTTGGCCGTGTGACCCTGAATAAATTCTGCAGGGCACCGGAGAGCCAGGTTTCCTCCGTCCCTGGTGAATGGCCCTGATTCTGTCTCACGCTGCAGACCCCCCACCCAAGCCTGCTCCCGGCCACCTCTGCCTCGCACCACCCATTGAAGGCCCTCCCCCACAGCTCTTGGCCACTTACGGCAGATGCATGTCTGTGAGCAGAATCTTCACAATCATCTTGAGTTTCTCGGCGAAGTCAGCCCGGCTGGCGATCCCTGGGGCTGCCATGCTGAACGTGATCAGCAACACGGCCCCCAGGACGGTCAGCTGCTCCAGCTGGAGCTGGAACTCTTGGAAGCGAGAATGGTCCATCAAAACTGTCTGCAATGAATACAACAGAAATCATTCTGAGCTGCAGGTTCGGGGCTGTGACCAGCAGAGGGCGGTGTGGCCACAGCCCCCGCACCTACGGAAAACGGGGATTCCTCCTTCATGGGGCTGTTTTAAAGATGAAAAAAGGGGAGAGGGACAAGTTGGGAGACTGAGATTGACATGTACGCACTAGTATATATAAAATAGGTAACTAATAAGGACCTACTGTATAGCACAGAGAATCATTCAATACTCTGTAATGACCTATATGGGAAAAGAATGTAAAAAAAAGAGTGGATATATGTGTATGTATAACTGATTCACTTTGCCTAAAACTAATACAACACTGTAAATCAACTATACTCCAATAAAACAAATAAATAAAGATGAAAAAAAGATCATGTATATAAAGCAGCTGGCAGAGCCAGCACTCAATAAATCCACTCTATTCAGGGCACCGGAGGGAAGGAGAGGAGAAATGTATTTCTTCACCTCCGTATCCCCCCTCAGCATCCAGCACAAAGGAGGCTCTCAAGAACTGGGAAGTGAACAAAGAGAGAGAAAAACTGTCAGTAGGAAAAGCAGGAATGACAGGTAACCCAAAGCCACATGGAAAGCAGTCAGTGATGGACTTCCCTGACGGTGTCCCCGTGTTACAGACAGGCCTGGGTCCAGCCGGGCCCAAGTCCCCGTGTGGGGGGAGGGAAAGGGCAGTGGAGAGGCTGGGGGATACGAAGTCCGATCTGAGTTTTTACAGATTAACCAGGTAAAGTTTAAGGACCGGTCTTGCTATAAGAAACTAATGCACCAAATCAGGACGTTAACAATGTGGAGTCTTAGCCCAGAAGTCTCTCTGCAAAGTAAAAACCATCTCTGAAGGCTGACACTCCTCTCCTGTCAAACAGAGAGGCTTTACCGGTCCCTGTTTTGACTTCACTTTGTTACATGGCATCTGTGTCCTTGCTTTGAAGCCTCCCAGCAGTATGGAGTACTTGGGTTTAGGATGCAAATCCTCCCATTCATTAGCCGATGTGATTACCCAGCCCATAAAAACTATCACGCCGTAATTCTGGGCTGCTCCGGCCTTCCGAGATGGCCCATACTCTGTCTGGGGAGTGTGTCTCTCTAAATAAATCCACTTCCTACCTACGGGAAAAAAAAAAAAATTTCCAAGAATGAATTCTGAGAGTGGATACCTATCCCCATTGAAAACACCGTTTTCCCCACAGCAATTTTTCAAGCAAAACATCTACAGGAGAGACGAGAGAGTCTGTGACTCTTCAGGAAGGAGCTGCCCTCACCCCCAGTTCAACACCCTTTTTCGAGTTTGGTCTGGCATGAAACAGGGAACTCAGAGGCAAGAGGTGAAAACCCAGGCTCACAATATCTTAAAAGGAAAAATAAGGAACAGAGAAAGAAAATTAGAGAAGTAGCAGGATCGAAGGCTAGAGATAAGAAGCCTGAGTGCCCTCAAAAAAGAAGGGGAGTCTAGACACCAAACCACCTATTTGCTGGGGAATCCCTTGTTAGTCATCTCCTTAAGGGATTCTGGCAGTTAGAAGCACTTATTGTAAAAAACATACAAAGGAAAAAAAACCATGGCTCTGCATGGAAGGAGAAGCAGTTTCTTTAGATAAAATTGAAAAGCAACATCACTGAGTTAGGGCTTTCATCAGGATGAGTGAAAACAGGACAGACGCTCGGCAGCACAAGTGAGAAGCTGCACACACTCCTGGTGGGATTACAAAACGAGGCAGATACTCTGGAAAATGGTCTGGCAGCGCCTAAGAGTCACCACGTGACCCAGCAGTTCTAATCTTAGGTACATACCTACGGGAAGTGGGAATACATGTCTACACAAAACTTGTACACAAATACTCAGAGCAGCACAGTTCACAATAGCCTAAAAGTGGAAACAACTTAAGTGTCCATCAATTGATGAACAAATAAAGCAAAATGGGGTATAGCCATACAATGGAATATGATTCAGACTCAGAAAGAGATGTGGACACAAACAACATCGTGGATGAATACTTAGATATTATACTAAGTTAATACTTAGATATTATACTAAGTGAAATAAGCAAGACACAACAGGACAAATCACTCTGTGATTTCACTCATCTGAGGTACCTAGAGTAGTCAGATTCAGAAACACAGAGGAGACAGGAAGAGGCAGGAATGAGGAGTTAGTGTTTGAAGAGTACAGAGTTTCAACTTGTTCTGTAAATGGGTGGCGGTGATGGCTCCACAGTCATGTGAACGTACTTAATGCCCAGAACCGTACACTTAAAGATGGAAGGGACTTTCCCAGTAGTTTTAAGACTCCGCCTTCCAAGGCAGCGGGAGGGGGTTCCATCTCTGGTTCGGGGAACTAAGATCCCACAGGCCAAAGGGTTGAGTCAAAAAAAAAAGAGGAGGGGGTACACTTTACATATATTTTACCACAATTTAAAAAAAACTACTAAAAAAAAAAGGAATGAAGTACTGATGGAAGCTACAACATGGATGAACTTTATGCTAAGAAGCTAGACACGAATGGCCAATATTGTATGATTCCGTTTAAACAAAAAGTCCAGAATAGGACAAATCCATCGAGACAGAGAGGAAGTGGGCAAGGGGTGAGGGGAGAAAGGAGGAAGAATAGCCACTGCCAGTGGGTCCAGGGTCTCCTTTCGGGTGATGACAATGTTCCGAAATGAAACAGTGCTAATGGAAGCACAACTCTGTGAATGTACTAAAAACCCAAGAATTATACAGCTTACAAAGGAACAATTTTCTGCTATGTGAGTTGTAACTATTACTCTTCAGAAGTTCAGCAGTACAAGAAAGAAACGAGCAGTCAGCTTGCCTGGAGCACCTACTTCAGGGAAAGGTCGGTGGAGGTGGTCCCACTTCAGAAGCTTCAGGTACGCGTAATTCTGGACAGCCATGGGATCTAGCCGGGGGCCGTCCCCAGAGCCAGCGGCCCCTCCCGCAGCCGGCAGGGCATTTTTATACTTCTGATTCATAAGGTCATCTGTGGCTTCTTGCAGCCACTGGGTGACAAAGTCCAGGGAATCTGTGAAAAAAGCAAGACCTGGAACATTACTGAACGCTCTGAGACACTTCCCAGAATTACTGTAGGGAAGATCATCCTGGAAGTGTGGTCAAGTACAGAGCATGGACTTTGGCATCAAACAGACCTTGGTTTACATCACAGAACAGGCGATTACCAGTTGAGTGACCTTAGGTTCGTCATAATCTGTCTGACTGTCAAGGTTCTTAACATAGTGAAAGGTCCGGCACTGGTGGCGCTAGTGGTAAAGAAGCTGCCTGCCAATGCAGGAGACATAAGAGACACGGGTTCAATCCCTGGGTCGGGAAGGCCATGGCATCCCTGAGGAGGGCGTGGAAACCCACTCTAGCATCCTTACCTGGAAAATACAGTCCACAGGGGCACAGAGTCACACACGACAAGCAACTTAGTATGCGCACACCAGCCCCACCTCAGAGGCAGCTGGGAGGGCTAACCACGACAGTGGACACAACGCGTGTACCCTGGTCTTACCACCTCAGATGTTCAACAGACTTTTGCTCTTTTCTCTCCCACCCCGGCCACTCACGCATGACACGTGGCTGGAAGCTCTGAGAAGTCCAGCTCAGTGAGATGCAAAAATTCCTGCTCAGGGAAGATGGGGGAGATGCCGGCTAGAGTTTCCCAATACAAAGTACCCCCTCCACAGTGAAAACGACGCTGTCCTTGTCTAGATCTCAGCCTCCTATCAACCTGGTTCACTGTCAGCCTTGCCGGGGTAAGTCCTGTCACCTGTTTGGCATGTACTGCATGGCATTTGGGGGGGGACTCCCCCACCCTGGTGAGGGGACCTCGGTTGTCTTACATCTGCTGGCATGCTTTCCTACTCTTCTGAGTAATGTACCAGGGATTCGGAGGGACACGAGAGCAAGAAGATGAGCCTTTTGTCCATGTTGTCTAAGCAAAAAAAAAAAGAAAAAAAAAACCCTCTGATAGGACACGAACAGACTGCAGCCCCGTCAGTGGGGTCACCACCAAGCAGGCAGTCGCGGGCACGGCTGCAGCCGGACACACCTCCAGTCCTGCCCACACATTGATCACGCCGAGCTCTCGGTTCTGGGCTTCGCTCTCCCTTCAGCCTCTGGAGGCAGCATTCTGCAGGCCACCCGCTCTGGGAAACCTCGGCTTTCATGCTGCGGGTGACTCTGACCAGCTCAGGGCCTGGGCCCTGGCTGCCGGCACCTGACCCTTAGGCTAAGGCTCTTCAGCCTGTAAACTGTAACCCTGATGCCTCCTGAGGGGCAGTACAATACTGGTTGAGATAAAGAGCTGAGCGGGTCAATTTTTTCCCCCCAATTTATTTATTTTTCGCTGCACTGGGTCTTTTTGTACTCGCAGGCTTTCTCCAGTTGCAGCATGAGGGCTACTCACTGAAGTGGCTTCTCTTGTTGCGGAGCACAGACTTCAAAAGTTGTGGCAAGTGGGCTTACTTGCCCCATGACATGTGGAATCTTCCCCGACCGGGAACTGAACCTATGTCCCCTGTATTGGCAGGCGGATTCTTACCCGCTGGGCCACCAGGGAAGTCCCTGTGGTCATCGGTTCTGGTCAAAAATCCCTCAAAGCCTATCTCCACACCTGTAAAATTGGTTTAAAAAATAGTGTCTACCTCCTAGGCTTACTGTGAGGTCATCTATGGCAACGTTGGTACATAGCAAATTCAAGCAGAGGCACTGAATTAACGACTTAGGTCAGACTGCACAATCTATCCAGAGACTGCCACTTTCATCTGTGACCAGCAAATTTACAGGCTAAAAGGAATGCATAATAAATTGGAACTGAAGACCGCAATTCACTGAGACCATCTGCTGCCAAGGCAGAGACCAAAGAAAGGACCCTAGAAATGCAACATAGTTTGGATCCTAAGTTATCCTTCTCAGCAATCATCTGAGACATTCATAAAAATGAAACTTTTTCTGATTATGAAACCAGAAGATTTTGCACACAGTAAAGCAAAATTTCTTGATGTACCTCATAGAGCTAAACAGTCCTAAGAAGTTTGCCACATTTTAAAATCAAGTAAACAATTTACCTCAAGCTGATGTTTTCATTAAAAACTCATTTAATTTAGGACTTCATTGTTCTTTTAAATTTCTATTCTCCTCTTCTACTTGCAGTTCTCTTGCTTGTCAACTAAGTTATCAAGGCCTAATGTCTTGTGCTTTTCTGTCTTCAAATGAGACTACTGTATTTCCATACTGGGCTTCCCAGGTGGCTCAGTGGTAAAGAACTCACTTGCCAATGAAGGAGACATAAGAGATGCTGGTTTGATCCATGGGTCTGGAAGACCCCTTGGAGGAGGGCATGACAACCCACTCCAATATTCTTGCCTGAAGAATCCTATGGACAGAGAAGCCTGGCGGGTTACAGTCCATAGCGTCGCAGAGAGCAGGATAAGACGGAAGTGACTTAGCATGCACTTATGTATTCCCATATTAAGTTTTCATTTTGTTTAGAAAATATCATTTTGCAACAACCTACAGTGGTATCATTTTGCAACAACCTACAGTGACTAAAATGAAAAAGCACATACAACAAATAAGCACCACAAAACATTAAACATACTTGGCTGCTTCTCCAAGAACTCCCGAAACTGCTTCCTTTCATATTCAACTGATTGCTGCATGAGATGTGGCCTAATGCTACTGACAGCAAAGTTCGCCATGTCCACTTTCATTAGGTCCAACACTGAAAAAATTGCCCTGGAAGAGACAAGAGGATTTAGCACTAGGCATTTGCAAAGTAAACACTGTTGTAAAAAAAAAAAAAAAAAAAAAAATGAAGTGAGCTGACTTGAGGTGGTTTTTTCATCCTGGAAAGGGTGGCAAGAAAAGCTGGAGAAGCTGTGAGAAAGCAGATTAAGAAAAACAAATTTAGAAGAAAGGACTGCAAATTTTTAAGCTGCTCTCTGATCCAACCCACACCCCTAGGCAAACATCACTTTCCCCACTGCCTGTCTGGCCAAGAGCTCATTCCTTGGCTCCGGGTCAGCCCTCACGGCAGGAGAGGAAGAATAGCCCAGACCCAAAGTTAAGAGCACAGAGCTCACCACGGGGTCTACATGCCTACAGGGTAATTTCCTTTCCTAGGAGAGAAAGAAAGGTAACTCTCTCCTTTCTCTCCCCTTGCCCTAGTCTCTGAGTTCCAAGGCAGGTTTTATGCTCTGGCTTTGGGGGTATAATTGTGAGTTTGTGCTCTGAAAGCACCCGATGGGCAAATCTGACAAGATACCAAGGATGCCTTCCACAGCATGCCTGTCCCATACCTGCAGCTCTGCTCTACGTGACCCACGTGCAGAAGGTGGACATGAACCCAAGGTGTGGGCTTAGGTGTGGCCCCACGCAGAGCTAAGAGTCCGGTCAAACACCCTCAGGGTCTCCTGATGCCGTCTGGGGCTGACGGGACATCGTATGACAGAATAAACTCACCCACACAAGGTGATCATGTATGGGAAAGGACACACGGTCTGGGCCCGTCCCCGCCACCGCTCTGGCCCACTCCCAAGTACACGGGGCAGCCCGCTTTCTGGAGGGCCTTGTGCCTCTCCCATGGGCATTCCCAACAGGCCCCTCAATTCACCAACAGGAAACCAAGGACGACTGGAAAATGACAACTGGCAGACCACTGCCTAGAAGTGGCCCACAAACATGTTTTGTGCTCACAGTGCTTTTGAAGGCGGGGATTTCTAGTTTCTCTTGAAAAATCAAAAGATCTGGCAACCCGGGGCCCACATTCCATCACGGCTACAACCGGTTGGTGCTAAGCGGCCACTGCGGCCTCCTTCAGGTAGGGTGTGTACGCCCAGTTTCCCCAGTCCCTTCTCCTTCCAGCAGGAATCTGAGTTTAGATGAGTCTGCTACAAGCTACTTCCCCGGAGGACTCTCTTCCAAGGAATTCCTCATTTAACTTGACTAGATTATGGCTCTTAAAAGTGAAAGTTTAGTTGCTCAGTCATGTCCGACTCTTTGTGACCCCCTGTACTGTAGCCCGCCAGGCTCCTCTGTCCATGGAATTCTCCAGGCAAGAATACTGGAGTGGGTTGCCGTTCTCTTCTCCAGGGGATCTTCCTGACCCAGGGATTGAACCTGGGTCTCCTGCATTTCAGGTAGATTCTTTACCATCTGAGTCACCAGGGAAGCCTAGATTATGGGCTCTTACTGACTATATTATTTCTACTGTCTCGCACCATGCCTGGCACATAAGAGGCACTCAGTAAGAGCTTGTTGAATGAATGAACAAATCAGTAACTATCTTAAGGCAGTCTTTTAAACATGTTCTCTCTAAACCTTGAGGTAACCTTACAACGCTGGGCATATTTCTAGGTAATGAATATTGATAGCATGATGATGTCAAGAAAGCTAGAAATGAAACTTTTTCTGCTTATAAAACTTTTGAAAAGGAACCTGCTAACATGCAATGAGTCTTAAAACTGTTCACATCCTCTGACACAGTAATGTCATTTTAAGAACGTATCTTTATGAAATAACCTAAAATACAGAAAAACGTTTTGTGCAGAGATGTCTGCACTACAGGGTTAAGTACTAAATAACTATACATGATCTGATTGTATATCTTAACAGAGAAACAGTTAATCATATCTATGAAAAAGGATGTTTTGCAGCCACTGAAAATACTTACGAGGAGTTTAAACAAGTGATATATGTTGGTTATAAAAGGGCAATGAAAGAGAACCTTGGAGTATCAGAACTATTTAGTATCTTGAATGCGGTGGTGGATATGCAAACTCAGGTGATAAAATTGTATAAAAATTACTATACATAAACTCATACATGTGTACACAGGAAATCTCAATGAGATCAGTGGACTATATCAGGATCAACACACTGAGGATGATAGTTTTGTGAAATGTCACCCTTGGGAGAGGTGGGGGAGAGTGCACTGTATTATTTTCTTACAACTCCATGTGAATATACAATTATCTCAATGACACTTTCAATGAAAAAATAAATGAAATAATTAGGGTGTAATACTAACAAAAAAAAGTCAGGCTTGCAGCGCCTACTGGAAGGTCTTCTTTGGCTCAGTTGAGCAGATTCACAAGACAAGTGTAACCCACAGGTCTGACGCCACCTGTTCACACAGCTTTGTCAACAGAGTGTCACCAAGCACTCCTTTGCAAGCACAGTTACATCATCAGCCAGGAGCAGACGGCTCAGAAGTGCAGGAGCCCCTGGCTTAAAAGCTCACAACAGCGCCAAGGTATGCCTTCTAGGGTGTCTATGGGGGGCATGTCCAGCTACAAGTTTCCCCCACAAAAAAGAGAAAAGTTTCCCCACTTGAGGAAATACCAAATATGGTGTCCCATCCAGTATTTATAGTTCATTATCATTCCTTTCTGTCCAGAGGCAATTTACCAGTCAGAGGTCATTTTCCCCATAAGCAATGCTGCCTAGTAGCATTTTGATATCTGTTTACAGAAAAGAATTAAGAATTTAACCAAAAGTCAAATTCTCAGGCAGCATCATGTCAATCCTCTGCCCATATAGCATAAAAATTATATAAATTTGATCATAATTATATACATTTAGAAATATACAGTCAAAAGACTAAAGGAAACGAATATGGACTAAAAATTAATAGGATTTTTTTTTTTTTTTTGGTTGCTAGTAGAGCTGTCTTGCAAGAAATAGTAAAAGAAGTTCTTCAGAGAGAAGGGAAACAATGTATCAATAGATCATATACTTGGAAAAGAAAGGAAGAGCATTGGAGAAAAAATAAGTGAAAATGCTCATTTTTTATTTTTTTAGGCCACATTGTGTGGCCTGTGGGATCTTAGTTCCCTAAGGATGGAACCTGTGCCCCTGCATTGGAAGCACAGAGTCTTAACCACTAGACCCGGGGGAGTCCCAAATAAGTGAAAGTAAAATTAAAATTTGTATTTTTCTTGATAGGTAGTTGTTCAAAATAATATGTTCAACTACGTATGCTTATGTATACTTTAGTTTACATATCAAAGAGCCTCTTGATGAGGGTGAAAGAGGAGAGTGAAAAACTGGCTTAAAACTCAACATTGAAAAAACTAAGATCATGGCATCTGGTCCTGTCCCTAGTGTTTTTGCTCAGTCGTGTCTGACTCTTTGTGACTCCACAGACTTTGGACCTCCAGCTCCTCTGTCCATGGGATTCTCCAGGCAAGAATACTGGAGTGGGTTGCCATTTCCTTCTCCAGGGGATCTTCCCAACCCAGGGATTGAACCTGGACCTATCGCATTGCAGGCAGATTTTTTTTTTTTTTTTTACCATCTGAGCCACCAGGGAAGCCCCCACTTCATGGCAAATGTAAGGGGAAAAAGTAGAAAATGTAAGGGGAAAAAGTAGAAGCAGTGACAGATTTTATTTTCTTCACTGCAGATGGTGACTGCAGCCGTCGGTTGTTTTTTGGAAGGAAAGCTATGACAAACCTAGACAGCATATTAAAAAGCAAAGACATCACTTTGCCAACAAGATCTGTATAGTCAAATATTTGGTTTTTCCAACAGTCGTGTTCAGCTGTGAGAGCTGGACCATAAAGGCGGCTGAGCATCGGAAGAATTGATGCTTTCAAATTGTGCTGTTGGAGAAGATTCTTGAGAGGCCCTTGGATAGCAAGGAGATCAACCCAGTCAATCCTAAAGGAAACCAGCCCTAAATACTCCTTGGAAGGGCTGATGCTGAAGCTGAAAGCACGCTCCAATACTTGCGTCAGCTGATGTGAAGAGCGGACCCATTAGAAAAGACCCTGACGCTGGGAAAGATCCAGGGCAGGAGAAGGGGGCGACAGAGGGTGAGCTGGATGGATGGTGTCACTGACTCAATGGACATGAGTCTGAGCAAACTCCAGGAGACGGTAAAGGACAGAAAACCTGGCAGTGTTGCAGTGCATGGGGTCGCAAAGTCAGACACGACTCGGCGATTCAACAACTGCCACTACCAATCGCATGCGTCCTCCCCTCTCCTTAAACCCCTCCAACCCCGTCCTGCGCAGTTACCGACCTCTCTCTCTCTAGTGAATGCTGCCGTTTTCCTATTGTTTCCTTTCTTGTAAGAGCAAAACCCTTCTGAAGCCTTCAGTAGTTTTGCATTTGACACTCAGCGACAGCGAAAGTCTGGCACGGGGCTTTGGCGCAAACACGATTAAAGGAAAGGATTTTGGGGCGGGGGGGTGTGGGAGCAGGTGTATGTTCTCACGACACACTCCCCCGACCAATCCCCTTTTTACAAAAATAAATCAAAATGAAACCCTCTTCAGTTATCACCGTAGGGTTGCCTGCCCTCAGATGACTCCCGGAAATGTCGCCAACAGCCCTACGCTCCGTCTGCCAGTCGGCAGCAGAGGCGGGCGGTGGACGTAAGCACGTCTGTCCTGCAACTCGTCCAGCTTGGGGAAGTCTTGGAGAGCTCCGCCGGGGACCGCCGCCGGGTCTTCAGGAGCCGGGCCCTAATAGGATTATTTTAATGTTAAATTTCTTAAATATCCTGGTTGTATTTTGATCATGTGAGAGAATATCCACAATCATAGGAAGTACTTGCAGAAATAGTTAAGGGTGAAATATAGCATCTGACATTAACCATCAGAAGGTTCATGGAAAAATACATATATACATGCATATATCCTCAATGTATGATAAAGCAAATTGACTAAATGTTAAAAACTGGTGGATCTATGTAAGCGTTATATGAGTGTTGATTATATTGTTTTTGCAATTTTTCTGTAGATTTGTAATTTTTTCCAAATGCTGAGGCAAAAAAACTAAAAAAATTTATATATCAATATGACAATAGTGATTGTGCCTTTGTGTGATAAAATCATGGGTGACTTTTTTTCCTTTCTACTTTTCTGTAGTTTACAAAATGTTTGCTTTTTAAAAAATATTTCATGTCTTTTTGTTCTATTGGATTTATATTGATTTTAGTAAAAAAAAAAAACAGATTTAAAATTTTATTTAAAAATATATGCTAATGATCAGTCTTTGCCTTGATTTGCCTTTGGTCATTTAAAGAGTATACACACTATAACCTCACCCAGAGTCTCAAGTTCACTGTCTTTTCTCTTTTCTTCAAGCCTTCCCCTTCTCTTCACTTCCTTTGTTCCCTCCCTCCTTTCTTCTTTAATTATAACCATTATTTTTAAAAAATATGGAATGCTTGCCAAGGGGCCAGGCAAATCTCTGTACTATTCCAATTTTAGGATATGCGCTGCTGACGTAAACACAACAAAATGTCTGCTTTTTAATCTTTTTTTTGTTAAGGCATGAATACTTACACTTGAGGGAGTCTAACTCTGAAAACAGGCTATGTATTTTAGGTGCCCTGAGGTGATTCACACAATACCCATACCTGAAAAGGGGCACTATTTCCTTAACGTCCTTCAGTCTCTTCACCTCCTCATCGCGCACAGGTGCACACAGCGTCCCCATCATGCCAATAATGAATTCTGCCAGCTTAGAAATGTCCAGGGCCCCATTCTCTGCCTCTTGCTTTATCAGATCCAGATCCAAGACTTCTGTTATCTGGTTTCTCAGTCTAGTGTGACCAGGCAGCAAGAAAGACAGGAGGGTCTACAAGAGAGCACAGCCAAGCTAATCAAAGCTTCCTAGTCAGATGCCATTTTTCATTATATGTAAAGGAACTGACAATTATCCAAAAAAGGGCTTACCAATTGTTACTGTAATGGTGCACATATTTGAACCTCTTATTCAACAAATCTATAGGAAAACATGTGTACAAATCATTTAGACTAGCTATTTAAACTTCCATTTAAGCTCTAGGTAGCAAGCAACTGGACATAGGAAGAAAAAACTATTAAAAGTGAAAAAAAACACATTAATGGAATGTGAACCTGTGAGCCAATGACAAACGGTAATTTCCACAGACATATTACTTCTTTGAGAAACTGCTTCTAAAGATATTGCAAAAACAGTCCTACCCTCCACTTAATACCTTCTTTATCCCAAAGTCTGAGTCACTTTTTTGGTCATTATATATTGAAGGTGTTCATATTTGTTAAGATTTTTATAAATCATCATATTTTATAAAATAACTTTTTTTTTTAAGTAATTCTTTTTTTTTAAAATCTGAACCTTTTTTCATTTATAAGAGTAATGCCCTTAGGTTATCATGGCTTGTTTGAAAGTTTTAAAGGGCAGTAAGCCACAAATACACTAAATCCACATTTCAGCAAGCAATTTAAAATCTTCATCCTTCAATTTCTTTAAAGCCTTCTAGTACACTAACACAGGGAGGTGGGATTAAAAACTCCTAACACACCAGGAAAGCATCACGACTTGCTCTTCACCTCACCTCTTTGATCTCACCAACAAGCTTGATGGCCCGGTCATACGTCGGGGGGACTTCACTTAGCTGGACACTCAAGCAATCCCAAAAAGCTTTATGGACAATATCCTTTACTCTCTTCTCCAAGCTGGAGGCAAATGGAAAAAAAGCAAATATCATTGTCTCAAATCACTCTCCCACAAATTCTATAGGTTTAGAGTGAGAAATTTTTTAAATTACTTGGATGAAGGAAAGAGTTCCCAGACATACTTAAACCAATCACATACCTTATTTTTAGTTAGTGATTTATTTCAATAAGTACCTTTCTTAATAAGTGTTCTTTCAATGGAGAGAATAACTTTCATCTAGTTTGATAGGAGGTATTAGTCCAATTAACAGCCTGAACCAGTGCCATATGATAAAAATAATACTGGAAAGCTCAGATCTGATCATTTAAGTTTCCTGATATCAGAAAATTTCTTTAGATGTTTAAGACTTTAAACTCAAAGTTTTTTTGCTAAAATTATCCTATTCTCATGTGACACATAGAACAACTGTTAATTAGGTACCAGGTTATAACAACTTATATTTAACATTTCAGGAAAACCAGTCTTTATGTCATGAGAGCAAAACAAGTAATTCTTCACTAGGAATATGAAAAAGTGCTATCCTTGCAGAACATACAAGAAACATTTGTAAAGTCCTATTTAGAAGCCTCACGTGGGAGACACTATAGCTTGCTGACTCAGCAGTCACTGCTCTGTCAACAGAAACCCAAGTTTTTCATGGTACTTTCACAATTATAATGGGAAATGCTTTTTTTCCTTCTTGTGACAATCCATCTTTTAACAGTGTATCTTACAATTAATAAAATTTCAGATTCAATATAATACGGGCCAGCTGCTAGGTAGGGATAGAGAATAAAGCATAAAGCATAGTCCTTATCTCTGAGGAGTTTACAATCTGGTAACGAAAGACAGTAAACCAACAACTACAGTACAACGTGACAGTTACAAAGAAGAAATGAAGGAAACAGTACCATGAACACACAAAAGGAGGCAGCTAAATTCTATGGACTGGGGAGACACTAACATGGAAGACTTCCAGGCCTTTCATTTACATCATCAAGCATCAGTGGTCCTGACATACACTTTCAAACTCTGGTAATCCCAAGGATAAGGAATATTTTTTAGCAACATACAAAAGGAAAAATATTTTAGAATATATACATCAAGTGAAGAAAATATTTCCAGAACTGGAAAATGGCAGTGTTCTACTAAACAAGGTAACTCAGTAACCACCTTACCTGTCTTCTGGTAATTCAACTGGTTTAATCTGAAAATCTCCATTTATAACAATCTCATGGGCTAGGGCCATGTTAGTGACTCCTTTCGCTGTCTCTAGAAGTTCTTCTGCTGTCACGAATCGAGGAGGACTAGCTGTAACAAAAGTCTGGTGTAAGAGGTTTGCTCCTCTAGATTAGGATTTTCTCCTAAATTTTTTAAATTAATTTTAGAAGGCAGTGGTTCTCCTACAAGCTAACAGCTAATAATTTCAGTTATGCCTCTACTTATGAAAATATTCTGGCAATTTCAAACAAGAGAATTGTACCTATTTCATATTCACTTTTTTCTTTTAACCTAGAATCCTAAAAGCAGAGATCATTTACAATACTCAAAACATCTTTTTTTTCTTTTCTTGGTAAAACTGGTCAATGGCAAATGATTACAATAAATGAAAACTTAGAAAAAACTTTTTAAAGTTACTGATTATCACTTTCCCAACAAGCTGAGGGTTTATTTTCTAATCCCTATGCCTCCTGTCCACCCTAAATGGAAAAAAAGACACCAGATTTAAGATCGCCTCTTTTGTTCCCATTAGCAGTTCACCATTTTGCTCCATCATCAACACTGTGCCATGAATGAAGTGAAGTGAAGTCACTCAGTTGTGTCCGACTCTTTGCAACAACATGGACTATAGCCCACCAGACTCCTCCATCCATAGAGTTTTCCAGGCAAGAGTACTGGAGTGGGTTGCCGTTTCCTTCTCCAGGGGATCTTCCTGACCCAGGGATCGAACCCGGGTCTCCCACATTGCAGGCAGACGCTTTACTGTCTGAGCTACCAGGGAAGCCCCTGGTGCCATGAATGAATCTCCCCAGATAAAAACAGCAACGAGTACTTTAGGGTGCCAGGTGCTATTTAAACAACGCTAAAACTACTACTAGGATATTAGGGCAATATAAGAATTCAGAGATCGACAGATGAACAAATCAGAGGCTGTGTGACACAAGAATTTCTGGAATGCAGGCCCAACGAATCAAAAACCTCAGTTATGTTTGATTTCTCCCTTTCCACCACTGTTAGCCAGGTCCAGTGAGTTTTATTTCTGTATCACCTGTGGCAATACCCTCATAATGGGTTTCTGTTCTTCTCTTTCTTTTGATAAAGTTTGAGACTTATCTTCTAGACAAAAAAAAAAAAACTCCTCATAAACCTTCCCAGGTGTTCTGAGCCAAGGAACATAGGGTAATTCCTACACTTAAAAAGCCAATGATTAATACATGCATGTTTTTGGTCTATCAATTATACCTTAATAAAGCTGTTAAAAAAAAAAAAAAGCCCATGACAGAGTGTCTTTAATTTAGAATCAGGGGGAGGGCTTATGCTAGCCCCCCTCCATGTTTCTGATTTAGCCTGTCTGGGGCGGGGCTGGAGAACTGCATTTCTTGTAAGATTCCACCTGATACTGATGGTTTCAGAAACCATACTCTGAAAAGCACTGGCCTGGAGGATGGTTATATTAATTTTACACAGTGGTGATAAGATCTGGGCTTAAAATGGCACTGGTTTACACATGGTTTAACAGCTGTAAAGATCTTGCTAGGTCACTGAAAAGTTATTTTCTCCCTTCTTTCCCTTTTTTTATTTGCTCACCAGAAAAAGGAATCAAATCTAAGAGCTGGTCATATCCTGTCTGGTAAAAATCCTTTTTTAGTCATATAAAGGGAAGTTGAAAAACTTCACAAAATTCTTTTCAGCATTTTCAGAGAATATTAATAAAAATAATAAGTAAAACTGACTTTGTGGATATTAGTAAAATGCAATAAATATCCAAAATCAAGGCCCAACAGATCTTTTCAATTCTCAGTATTACTTAGCTGTCAATTTCTACCAAATTGATCTACTGGTAAAATGAAATTCCAATCAAAATCCCAGCAAGGTTTTTGTTGAAATTGCCAAACGGGCTCTTAAACTTGGATGGAAATGCACAGGACCTAGACAGGTCAAAACTATTTTGGAAAAGAAGAAATTTGGAGGACTTATACTAACTGATTTAAAGAAAAGCAACAATAATTAAGACAGCGTGTGGGAATTCCCTGGTGGTCCAGTGGTTGGGACTCCATATTTCCATTGCAGGGGAAACAGGTTCCATCCCTGGTCAGGGAACTAAAATGCCACATGCCGCATGACGTTAAAGAAAAAAAAACAAAAAAGACTGTGTGTGTCTGGCATGACAAAAGATATTCAGATGAACTGAACAGAGCAGAAGATCCCCAACTAGACTGGGACACACACATACACATGTATGAAAAGTGAGGGCATTATTCCCTCAGTGTGTCTGGCTCTTTTGCCACCCATGGACTATAGCCAGCCAAGCTCCTCTGTCCATGGGGTTTTCCAGGCAAGAATACTGGAGTGGGTAGCCATTCCCTTCTCCAGGGGATCTTCTGGACCCAGGGACCGAACCCAGGTCTCCTGCAGTGCAGGCAGATTCTTCACCATCTGAGCCACCAGGGAAGTACATGTGTATATTTGTGGCCAAAAAGGGAAGATTAGTTTTTTCATCAAATAGTGCTGAAACAATCAGAAATCTATTCGTAAAGAAATGACCCTTGACCTTTACCTCAAATGATAAATAAAAACTAACTCAGTAAATCCATGGCTGATTCATGTCAATGTATGGCAAAAACCACTACAATATTGTAAAGTAATTAGCCTCCAACTAATAAAATAAATGAAAAAAAAAAAACTCAAAACGAGCTGCAAAGCTAAATATAAAAACTTAAACTATACAACTTCTAGGAGAAAACACAGGCCAAAATCTTTGTAATCTTGGATTAGGCAAAACAGGACACAAAAAGCTCAAAATACAAAAGAAAAAAATTATAAATTAAACTTAAAAGTTAAAACTTAAAAAAAAAAGGAAAAAAAAAGTTAAAACTTCTGCTCTGTGAAAGACTATACTAAAATGAAAAGGCATGCCACAGATGGAAGAAAATACTTATAAAACAAGTATTGGATAAAGGACTTGTATCCAGCATATATAAAGAACTTTTAGAACTAAATAACAGAAGATAACCAGTACCAAATGGCAGAAGATTTGAACATTTCTATGAAGCAGATAAACAAATGGCCAGTCAGAGCATGAATGGTCAACATCATTACGATCATCATTAATCATAAGGGAAATGCAAATCAAAACCAGACAGATACCACTATACACACCTACTAGATGAACCAAAATTAAAGAGACTAATCCTACCAAGTGTTGGCGCAGATGTGGAGTAACTGGAACACTCATACATAAGTGGTAGGGATGCCAAATGGTACAGTCACTTTGGGAAAGAGCCTCTTGGTTTCTCATAAAGTAAAACATACACTTACCATCTGATCTAGCAGCCTTGCTCCTAAGTGTTAACCCAAGAAAATGGAGAACATATGACCATTTAAAGATCTGTACTCAAAAGCTCATAACCATCAAAATGTCCATAAACCTCAAAATGGATAAACAATTGTAGCATGACCTCACCATGGAATACTACTCAGCAATAGAAAAGGAACAACTACTGACACATACAACAACATAGACGAGTCTAAAAAGTATTGTCCTAAGGGAAAGAGTCAGATACAAAAAATCATGCACAGAAGAGTCCATTTATATGAAACTATAACAATGGCAACATTACAGTGACAGGAAGCAGATTAGGCTGCTAAGAGCTGGGACTGGGGGAGTGGGGAAGATTCACTGCAAAGGGACACAGGAGAATATTGGGAAGTGATAGAAATACTGTAGCAGCTCATGATTGTGGTTGTAGTGACAAAACTGTATATGTATTGTCAAAACTCATCACTTAGAATTGGTGAATTTTATTATATATAAATTACACCTCAATAAAGTTAATTTAAAATTGTAAGGCACTCAGTCGGGATATGCTCGCACGTGCGCGCATGCTCTCTCTCTCTCTCTCTCTCTCTCTATATATATATATATATATATATATAATAATATATATACACATATACTGTTAGTAAATTTCTTCAGGGTGGTGTTTTCTGTTGCTACTTATCAGAAGATGGAGGTTTCACTGTGACATACCCAGTATCAGAACTCCACTGAGTTCTTTTACTTTTACAAAGAAATTCACAGACTGTTACCAGGACTTCCAAGTTTTGTTTAAACCTTGGTTTTGCAAAAATATTCAAATGTCTGACCATCTTAAATTTATGAAAATCAGAGAAACACACCAAGTTCTCTCATAAATTTACTATAATTTTTTTCAACAATTTTAGGCATTTGGGTAATTGATAAATTGGGTAATTGATAAATAAGACAGTTAATACACTACCTGGTCATGAAATGCAGTAGACAGAGCAAGTCAGGAAGAAATATGGCTCTCTCTAGACTGTGCAGAGTAACCCTTGAACAAGTCATTTAAATGTTTCAGGCTCACTGTTTCCTAATATGGAAAAGAAGATAAGACTGAAGGATGTTCTAGGAACGCCTGAGACTCTGTCCAGTCACAGGCAAGTGTGTCTTCATTGTTTTGGGCCTATGTGGGACAAAACAGCTTGTATCAAGTGCTGAGACTGTGAGACAACCAGGAAGAAGAACGTTTTCAGGACCTGTCCAAGTTAAAGGCTACTTAAAAGTCAGACTTATTAATGGAGGGTGTTTGATCAACAAAGATGCAATTCTAAGACATGACCAGGGTATATCACAGATCCACATGTATAGGAATTGTTCACTGCATGCTAATCATAGGGTTGTGGGTGAGTTTGTTGGGTTTTTTGTTTTTATTTTTGTTTTGAGAGTTCTCAAATGTACCAATTTCATAAACGAGAGCTTATAAAGACGCAGTCTGTCGAACCACCAGCTTCACCTCAATTTGTGAAAAGGACCTGAGTTGTATGTAACAAGAGCCATAAAGAATGGAAGGTTACGTGTACTTCACCCTACAACTTATTTTACTATGTGACGTAACACTAAAGCTCTCACTAAACTGTTACAGCGTTTGTGCACTGATGCCCTGTTAGAGAAGCTAAGAACCACATGACGTTAATCATGCCCTTTCGGAGGTTGGTGAACAGATTCCAAAGTAAAATGAAGGTCTAATTCACGTGGTCACACTCTCTACCTTCCTTTACTAAAGGTGTTC